GTCTTTTGCCATTTTTAATTGAATTGCTTATGGTTACAGAAATTTTTCATTTTCTATATTGTAGTCTTGATCAAATATGTGATTTACAAATATTTTCTCCTAGTCTATGGGTTGGGTTTTTCAGTCTTGATGGTATCTTTGATTCACAAAAGTTTTAAATTTTGATGAGGTTCAATTTATGTTGCCTGTACTTTTGGCATCATACTTAAAAAACCATTGTCATGTCAAAGATTTCCCCCCTATTTTTTTTTATAGTTTTAACCTTTTTTTCCACCCTGAATTCCTTGTGGGATCTTAGTTTCTTGATCAGGGATTGAACCCAGGTCGATGGCAGTGAAAGTGCTGAGTCTTAGCCACTGGATCACCAGGGAATTCCCAGTAGTTTTAATTCTTAAATTTAGAAAACTTCTGTTTTAAAATCATTGTCTTTTCCTCTTTAAAAAAAAATTATCTATTTGGCTCTACCGGGTCTTAGTTGAAGTATGTGGGATCTAGTTCCTTGACCAGGGATCAAACCTAGGCTCCCTTCATTCAGAGTGGGGATCCTAACCACTGGACCACCAGGGAAGTCCCTTAAATTTAGAAATCTGGTCTGATTTTGGTCAATTTTTGCACCTGGCATAAGATAAGGGCCTACTTTTTCCCTTTGCATGTGGACATCCAGTTTTCCCAGTACCATTTGTAGTTAAGAGTATCCTTTCTCCTTGGATGGGTCTTGCACATGATCAAATATCAATTGACTATATGTGAGGGTTTATTTTGAGCTCTGTGTTCCATTACACTGGTCTGTATGTCTGTCTTTATGCCAGTCAGACACTGTTTTGATTACTGTAGCTTTGCCATTTTGAAACAAAGTATGAGTCTTCCAACGTTGTTCTTCTGTTTCAAGGTAGTGTTGGCTATTTGGAGTCCCTTGCAATTCCATATGAGTTTTGAGATGTTCAAAATTGCCATTGGGATTTTGATAGAGATTGCACTGAATCTGTACAGCACTATGGCTCATGTTATGGAGTAAATGGTATTCCCCTAAAAGGTATATGTTGAAGCCCTAACCCCCAGGACCTCAGAACAAGACTATATTTGGAGATAGGGCCTTTTAAAAGGGGATTATTTTCAGGACTTCCCTGGTGGTCCGGTGGTTAAGAATCTGCCTTGCAATGCATTGGGACATGGGTTTGATCCCCGGTTAGGGCCTTTCCTGGTGACTCAGATGGTGAAGAATCTACCTGCAACGTGGTTAAACCCAGGTTCGATCCCTGGGTCAGGAAGATCCCCTAGAGGAGGAAATAGAAACGCACTCGAGTATTCTTGACTGGGAAATTCCATGGACAGAGGAACCTGGTGAGCTACAGTCCATGTGGTTGCAAAGAGTTGGGCATGACTGAACGACCAACACACAGGGAACTAAGATTCCACGTGCTGGGTGGCAGCTAAGCCTGGGTGCCACAACTAGAGAGTCCCCATGCTGCAACGAAGACCCGAAATACACATTGTAAAACAAGGCCCAGTGGACCCTAATCCAATCTGAAAGGTGTCTTCATAAGAGGAGTACATTTGGACACATGAAGAGAGACCAGTGACATGACAACACAGAGGAAAGACTGTGAGGACACCACGAGAGGGCAGTCATCAGCAAGCCAAGAAGAGAGGCTCGGAAACCAATCAGAAGCACCTTGATCTTAAAAGGTGTGTTGTTATGGCAGCCCCAGCAAACTAATACAGATGGTATTGCCAACAATGTTAATTCAAGAACATGGGATGTCTCTCCATTTATTTAAGTCTTTAATTCCTTTCGGCAATATTTTGTAGTTTTCAGTACACAAGTCTTTTTCCTCCTTGTATAAATTTATTCTTAAACATTTTATTCTTTTTGTTGTAAGGATTGTTTTTAAAAATATTTTTTCAGATTATTCATTGCTTGTATATAGAAATGCAACCAATTTTTGTGTTGATTTTGTGTACTTCAACTTTACCGAACATGTTTATTAGCTGTTTTTCATGTATGTGGACTCTACCTATAAAATTTTATTGAAAATGGCTTTGGCATTTAACTGCCATCTGCCATATGCCATCTGTCTTTAGTAATCAGGTAATTTGATGATCTTGCTCAGCTTCCTTCTATTTCTATTTGATTTAGGATTAATGCAAGAAATGGATGTTGAATTTTAGAATAAGCTCTTTCAGATACCTTTTCATGTAATCATACAGGTGGTACGCCTGAGCCTCTGTTTCTTTCATATATGAAATGGGGATAATGATAGAATTTTCCTAATAGAACATCGTGAAGATTACTTGCGAATCTAAGAAAAGGGATCTGCTATAGGCTGAAAGTTTGAGTTCCACACAAATGTCTGTGTTGAAACCTAACCCCTAGCATAACTGTATCAGGAGGGGATTATATTTTGAGGGCAGGATGCTCGTAATTGAGATTAATGCCCTTATAAAAGAGACCCCAGTGACCTTCCTCATCCTTTCTGCCATGTGTTGTCACTGTTGTTTACTTGCTCATTCATGTCTGACTCTTTGCAACCCCATGGACTGTAGCCGTCCAGGCCCCTCTGTCCATGGGGGTTCTGCAAGCAAGAATATTGGAGTGGGTTGCCATTTCCTTCTCCAGGGGATCTTCTCGACCCAGATATTGAACCCACCTCTCCCGCATTGGCAGGCATGTTCTTTGCCACTGAGCATCAGGGGAGCCCTGGTGGCTACCATGTGAGGACACAGTAAAAAGATGGTCATCCATGAACCAGGAAGCAGGTTCTCACCAGACGCCAAATCTGCCGGCACCTTGATCTGGGACTTCCCAGCCTCCAGCAGTATGAGAAATAAATTTCTGTTATTTGTAAGCCACCTAGTCTATGGTCTTCCGTTACAGCAGTTCAAATGGACTTAGGTCAAAATAAGATGTTGTCTTGTCACATTTTCCTTAATTTGCATTACTGCAATGAATTTCGCTGATAAATCTGTACCGTTGATTATTGTGCATATTGCCTGGCCATTGCTGACCTCCCTGCTGAACCCCAGACCTAGTTCCCGCAGCCTCCTGAATAGACTCCTCTAGAAGTCTCTGGGACCTCCCACACCTCCTGTGACCCCCAAATGGTCTTAGTGTCTCCCCCTAACCTGTTCCTTTTCTTCAGTTCTCATCTCAGGAATAGCCTCTTTGTCCCCTAGTCCCCAGGGTAGAGGCCTGACCTTTTCCTAAAAGCACCCACTCCCCTTCCATGGCCTGCCAGCATCACAGCCTGTTCACTAGACCTCCTGAGCATCCCTCCCGCCTGCCCCTTCTCCTCCTTCCTACACCAGGCTTTGGTCCAGCACCATCCCCTCCTGCACCAGTCCCTGGCCTGCTGCCTTGAGAGCTGAGCTGTCCTCCACAGGGCAGCCAGAGCATCCTTCTACATCTGACCATGTCCTTCCATTTCTCCACTCTGAATGCTCCTCTGATGATTCCCAAACTCTATAATGTGATCTCAGCGGCCTTGCCCGCTCTGGAGCTATGCTGCCTCAACATGGACAAGCTAGTTCAGCTGTCTGCCCTGGTGACCCCTCACGGGGTGTGTCCCCTGGGGCTCTGTTTCTGAAGCCCCAGGAGGGGCTGGTCAGAGGACTTGCACAGTCACTCCACCTAAGACCTCTGGGGAGAAGCTAGAGTGGAGCCTACTGGGTGGACAGGAAGTGGAGGACACGGGCACGTTTGCTTTTTGACTTTTGGTCTTCATTTTCCCTTCTTTTTTCTTTTTAAATTTTTATTGGCTGTGCTGGGTTTTCACTGCTGGGTGTGGGTTTTCTCTAGTTGTGGCAAGTGGAGGATATGCTCTCTTTGTGGCATGCAGGCTTTTCTTTGCAGTGGCTTCTCTTGCTGCAGAGCAGGCTCTAGGGCATGCAGGCTTCAGTAGTTGTGGTGCATGGGCTCAGAAGTTGCGGCTCCTGGGTTCCAGAGTGAGGGGGCTCAATAGCTGGAGTGCATGGGCTTAGTTGCCCCAAGGTATGTGGGATCTTCCTGGACCAGGGATGGAACCCATGTCCCCTGCACTGGCAGATGGATTCTTAACCACTGGACCACCAGGGAAGTCCTCCTTTTTCCCTTCTTGACACACACGTTCCTTACAAGAACATCCCTTCCCCACATATAAGCAAGAGGTTAGGATGGGATTGACAACCCTCAGATCCAGGGGTGGGTTCTGAAGGGCTTAAGCCCAGCAAGGTCTCACCCGTCTGGCAGAGTGAGTGGCAAAGTATTGAGTTTATGATTCAACCCCATCCAATCAGAGTGACCAACAGGACTTTTGCCTGGGAATGTTGGACTCCAGCCCCTTTTTTTCTCTGGATAATAAAACATATGGATGCGCTGTGACTGTGAGATGCACTGGCCTGTGGTCAGAGACCAGCCTCAGATGAGGGCAGGGCAGGGAAAGCTAGAGAAATGGAGCCAGAATTTTATGGACATTGAAGCTTCTGGATCAAGCTGTACTTGAAGCCCGTCTTAACAAAGTCCATAAATTACCATTTTCATGTGGACCACAGAAAATTTTGCTACTTGCAACTGAAACAAAAATCTAAACCTCCCAGAGACCCCTCCTTAAACTAGACACTAGATAGGTGTTGCCATTCAAAATCTGTCACAATTAGTTTTAGACCTAGGCACTGAACAGTCAGAACAGACTGCAGGCCATGGCAATGGGCCTGGGTCATGGAGGACCCTGCTGGACTGTAGGGCGGTCTGGGGCACTCTGCGGAGGGGCTGAGCCAGGAGGCACACAGAGAAGCCACTATGTACCAGCTTGGCACAGGAGGATTTTGATATTTTAATAACTAATGCAGCTGAGTGGTACAAACTAACTGAACACAAGTCCTTACAAGGTTCCATGGCTGATGCTGAAATGTGAAGTGAAAATTCAAGCAAAACAGGGAGAAAGGCCTAGGATGAGCAAGCGATGTCCAAGGCAACCCAGGACATAAGAGACAAGGGTGGGTGGTGGCTGGGGCAGGCCAGAGGCTTAGGTGGTGGACTTCCGCTTCAAGGCGTCCTTAGTTTCAGCCTTGTTCTCCTCTGCCCCCTTGTAGACAACCCTGGAGTTTAACCTGGAGCTCCTCCAAGACACGGTCCCAGAGTGGCTGAAGGCCCTGCTGTCGGAGGGGGTACTGTAGGTGTAGTAAGATTCTAAGCCAATGATGCTGTTGATCTTCCAGCGGAGGAAATTGCAAAACTTCACCATGTAGGGCGACAGAAGGCAGCAGATGATGTAGAGAATCACCAGGCCGACAAACAGGCTGGCTGACACCTGCAGGAAATGGGTCAACAGGCAATGGTAGGCAGTCTCAGTGGGTCAGGTGGAGTGGGGGGGTGGCCCTCCATCGGGCAGGGCAGGGCATCTCCAGGGCAGCCACTTACCAGGAGGATGAGGAAGGCCCGCCTGGCACTGAGCGGGAGCCCATGGATGTGCAGCAGAAAGGTGAGCTGGTAGTCGCAATAGGTGCTCTCGTCCACACCTCTGGTGGGGATGGGGGTCTGAATGAGGTGGGGAGGAGGTGGGCACCTCCCCCAGGAAGCCCCCGATCCCACCTCAGCTGTGTGTGTGCCTCACCTATTGCTCACCAACACCTTGAAGAAGAATTCAGGGGCAAAGATGCTGTGGGGAATGGTGTCATGGCACGGTGAGTTCTCCAGACATAGCCACCTGAGGGAGCAAGTTCAGGCGCTTGTGGTACAAATCACACGTGTGACAACCCCTGATCTTCCCCTCTGCCCCACAAGTTCTGGATGAGCACTAACTCCGTGCGACCTCCTACCTCCCTCCCTGATTCACGCCTTCACTCATTCAGCTGGTAAGGCTGACTGACCCCCTACCAGGAGACAGGCTGTTCCTTTATCCATCCTTTTCCTCCCTTCTTTAGGGGAGCTGTCAATTCCTCCGTTACTATGTATTCATCTAGATTACAGATTGTATACCTATGATGTACCAATTCCTCATTTATTCTTTGCTGCCTTTATTCCATCATGGCACAAAGTCGCATCTTCATTTCTTTTTTCACATAGTCAATAAATGCAAGTTGAATACTGACTAGGTGCCAGTCAGTTACTTTGTTCACTCATTCGTTTCCTTTATTTGCTTATGGCATCATTTTCTTTCATTCATTGAATCAAAAATAGTTATTTATGCTTGGGAAATTCCATGGACAGAGGAGCCTGGCAGGCTACAGTCCACCGGGTGGCAAAGAGTCAGACACAACTTATAGACTGCTGCTGCTAAGTCACTTCAGTTGTGTCTGACTCTGTGCAACCCCATAGGCTAAACAACAAATGTAAGCTTATATTCTGTCACTGTTCAGTTTGTAATAAAAATTTTGAGAACTTAAAAATAAATAGCTACTGAGGCCCTATATGCTAATTTTTTTTCTTCTCCTGGCCGCGCCACACAGCTTACAGGATCTTAGTTCCCCAACCAAGAGTCAAGCCCAGGCCCCCAGCAGTGGAAGCATAAAGTCCTAACCACTGGACCACCAGCGAATTCCTGCTATATGCTAACTTATTACTTCATTGTTTCATTCATTCACTGATACCTCCATTCAAAGGTCAATAAGTGCCTACAAAGAATGAATGAAATTGTTCATTGTCTCATTCAACAAATACTATCTATTCTGGACCTGGATTTATAAGAGAGACAGACTCCACAGGAGACAGTGACAGCTCAGAGGGGTCAGGGTGAGAACAGGGAAGGTACAGGAGGATGCAAGAGCCAACTGTCCCACCTAGAACAGTCAGAAAAGTCCTGGAGGAAGTGGCATCTGAACTAAGGCCTGAAGAAGGATTAAGGGGGACCAGTCCTGCGGACAGAGGGTCCAGTTTGCATAAAGGTCAAAGTCAGTCTCATTCGAGGATCACAAAGTCAGTGTAGCTGGAGGACCAAGGAGTCTCCCAGAGGCAGAATGGATGGAAAGGCCCGATAGATGTGGGCAGGTGGGGGCGAAGGGGGCCTGCAGTCGGCCCAGGCACTCACTCGATGCCTAAACTGTTGTGTGACATGATGTTGAAGGCCAGGTCCTCGGTGGTCGTTGTGTTCTCCGTAGTCCAGATGAGGCTGCCAGTCCTGTGCAGGCAGGGGTAACCTCAGTAGGGGACCGGGCCTCACCGGACCGAGGCCCCAAAAGGAGGCGGGGAAGGGGGCGGAGATTGGGTGGGGGGAGCCTCATGCCACAGGAGGGCTAGAGTTTGCAGGAGCCTGGGAGCCTGCGCCGTGGGCAGGGCCCGGTGGGTACGGCTTGCAGCCCAAGTTTGGTCTGTGGCTGGGCAGCTGGAGGGGGCCTGCAGGGGAAGAAGGGCCAATTATGGGCCTGGTCCCACAGGGATTACTTGTCCAGTGGGCTGTTGAAGCGGTAGATTTCCTCCTCGCTGTATTCCTTGATGGTGTCAAGGGTGGGCCCGCCGCCCACCACCTTCAGCACGTAGCTGTGGGGAGCAGAGGTTCGAAGGGGCTGTCTGGAGTCCTGCCTCACCTCTACCATCCCCTTTTCTCCGCGCCCCCACCCGCAGTCCCCTTGCCCCCAGCCCACTCCCTTCGGCCGCTGGCTTGGATCCCCTTTACCTGCCCTGAAAACTGCCAGAATCGCCCGTCACCAAATCTTGGATCAAGAAGAATGGGTAGAAGGCTGTGGGGTCGGAGGGGTGGAGACCGGGAGGAGAAATGAGAAAGGGGAAGGAGGAGAGATGAAAGGACCCAAAGGAAGAGCAGAGGATGGGTGGGGGCAGTGAGCGGGCAGGCAGGAAGGGCGGGGGGGAGGGGTGCGCAAAGGAGAGGGCGCTGAACACCCACTGTCCCGGAAGAGAAAGCAGGGCATCTCCTGGTCCACTTTGACGCAGTCGAAGTAGTGTTTGTTCTGCACGCGGTTGTATTGCAGCGTGTAGGTGATGTCCAAGGCCAGGCGCTTGCCTGGCGGGCAGCCGATAAGCACTGGCACCATCAGGTTGCTCTGAGGGGGAGGAGAAAAGCCTGGTTCTGGGGGTCCGGCAGGAGGGACACCCCTTCTCCCCCACACCCCACACACCCTCACTAGAGGGCCAAGCTGGTTATTATTATTACCATTAAAACAATAAAAACAGCAAGCGCTTGCATAGCTCTTACTGTGCATGAGGCACGGAGGGATTCTGTGCAGAGCTTTACATATTCAAGTTCATTTACTCCTCAAAACAACCTTGCGTAATATAGACCATTAACACCTCCATTTAATGAGATGGCAAAAGTGAGGCACAGAGAAGTCAAGTCACTTATTAATTATCCGAAGTCACACGGCTGGGAATGTGGTAAAGTCGGGATTCAAACTGAGTCAGGTGGCTACCAACTGCCTTCAGAATAAGACATACAAAACCATTAACACCTAAGCCTATGAAGCAGCCAGCTGCTGTGTGTGTGTTAGTCATTCAGTCGTGTCAGACTCTTTGTGACCGCATGGACTGTAGCCAGCCAGGCTCTTCTGTCCATGGGATTTCCCAGGCAAGAATACTGGAGTGGGTTGCCATTTCCTCCTCCAGGGGATCTTCCCAACTCGGGGATCAAACCTAGGTCTTCTGCATTACAGGCAGATTCTTTATAGTCTAAGCCACCAGGGAAGTCCCGGCTCCTAGTTGGACTTTAATTGGCTGAAGCTGAGGGAATTCCCTGGTGGTTCAGTGGTTAGGACTCTGATTTCACTGTCAAGGGTCCAGGTCCAATTCCTGGTTGGGGAACTAAGATCCTACAAGTCTGCAATAGCCAAAAAATAAGACAATGAAGAGCTGAGGTGGAGCCTGATTTCCTAAACAGTAGGCTTGGGGGAAGCATGGGATATGTGAGGAAAGTAGGGCCCAGGATGGGAGTTCAGTATCTTGGGAATGAAAGGTTCCTGGCCCATTCTGGGGTTAGGGCCCAAGGATTTCACCCCATTGTCAGAAGGACATGGGCATCTAGAGACTGCAATCTGGGCTTGCTGGCTTCTGTGGAGAGGAGCCTGCACATAGCAAGGAACACCCAGTGCAACCAAAGAGAAAAAAAAATTATTTTTGTAAAAAGCTACAATAAAAAAAGAGTAGATGCTTTGACTTTTAAAAAACAATCTTTAGGCGGGTATCATGGTCAGATAGATAGATAAGTGGATATATATTGGGATACACACACAGACACACACATATATACACAGTGAAAATTTCACTTCCATTCCTGTCCTCCAACTGTCCTGACTCTTCCCTAATCAACCAGTAAAGAAAGAAAGTGAAGTTGCTCAGTCGTGTCCGACTCTTTGCGGCCCCATGGACTGTAGCCTGCCAGGCTCCTCTGTCCATGGGATTTTCCAGGCAAGAATACTGGAGTGGGTTGCTATTTCCTTCTTCAGGGGTTCTTCCTGACCCAGGGATCGAACCCGGGTCTCCTGAACTGCAGGCAGAACTCTTTCCCATCTGAGCCACCAGGGAAGGGCTTATTCAACCAGGAGGGAACCGTTATGAATACTTTCTTGCCCTTCTCCCCATAGTTTCTTCATGAAAATAAAAGCAAACATGAATACATGTTATCAAGTAACCTCTTTCATACTAACATTTTGTATACACTGTTGCAGTATGTGGAGATCTCTGCCGCTTTGCTCTTGTTTTTCTCTTTTCTCTCTCTCTCTCTTTTTTTTTTGCCACACCACGAGGCTTGTGGGATCTTAGTTCCCCAACCAGGGATTATTGAACCTGGGCCACAAGAGTGAAAGCACTGACTCCTAATCACTGGACAACCAGGGAATTCACACCCCCCAACACACACCCACACCCTGTTCTTTTTAAATAGCTGCATAGTTTTCCACTACATGGATGAACCACCCTTTATTTAACCACTTCCCTAGTAATGAACATTTAGAATGTCTCCAAGTCTTTTGCAGTAACTGTGTACTGCAGATCAGATTCCTGGAAGGGATCTGCTGGGCCCAAACAGATATTAACTGACTTTCTGGGGTTATGATGAAGAGGAAAATAGTGTGAACTAAGTTTAGCAGGAAACAGTTATTGGGCTGTGGTCACTCTTCCCTGCATTTGACCCTGAATATCCCAGGTAATCCAAGGAGTTGGGAGCTGTTACAAGTCCCCTTTTTTAAATTGCCCTGGGTCATAGCAACTTGGGCTTCCCAGGTGGCACTAGTAAAGAACCCAGGTGCCAATGCAGGTGACACAAGAGACAAGGGTTCTCTCCCTGGGCTGGCTGGGAAGATCCCCTGGAGGAGGGCATGGCAACCCACTCCAGTATTCTTGCCTGGAGAATATCATGAACAGAGGAGCCTGACAGGCTACAGTCCATGGGGTCTCAAAGGGTCGGACATGACTGGAGCGACTTAGCATGCACGCATACTAACCCAGGAAAGAGAAGCACCAGGGTCTGTCTCCTGGAGAGTGGGCAGGGAAGTGGGTGAGAACAAGGCCTCCTCTACCACTTGTTAGCTCCGGGGGTTACTCAGAGCAGATGTCTGTATCTCTCAGAGCCTCACTGTCTGTCTCCATAGCAGGTGAAGAACCAAGGACCCAAAGGCTTGAACAAAGAATGTGTGAGCAGGCAAAGGAAGAGCAAAGCATGAAAGGAGAGCCAAGCTTGTTCACGTGCCACCTTTGGACCAAGTGGAAAAACAAGCCCTGTGTCACAGATACTTAACTTCCCCTAGAAGAAAAGCATCAGAAGGAACACACAAATTTGTGTACAATCTACGCAATGCAGCACTTTCTGAAAACATGAATGGATTAAAGGAGGGAGGGGTGACTGGGTGAGGTAAATGATAAAACTGAATGAGAAAGAAAAAATTAGGAAGGCATTCATGGGATTCCCAGCTAGAGCCCTCAGATTCCACCCTGTTGAGACTGACCCACACCCTTCCCTCCCAGCACAGGGCCCAGGACCCCAAGTCCAATACTTGCATACGAAGCCCCTGGTTCGTGTTCTGGAAGCAGTGCCCAGACGAGCCCAACACCTGCGAGTAGGAGCAGAAGATGAGATGGGACCCCATGGCTTAGTCCTTCCCCTCATCTGCATCCCTGCCCTCCAGGCTTGGACCACACACCTTGATGAGCATGGAGGTCTTCATGAGGTGATGTCCACTAATGCCCTGGTCAAAACAAGACCTTTTATCACTGAGCGTAACCTGGGGGTGGAGGCAGAAATGAAGGGGGCAGTAGGCCAGCGGGACGACACAGGCACCGTTCAAATAACTGCGGGCTTCTAACAGGTCCACTGCACCAGTAGCTCCGCCATCACCTCAACGCCTCTTCTCCACCTGGTCTCACCCAGAAAAGCACCGAGTTGCGATTAACAAGGACCTTCTCCTTCACCACCGCCTCAATGCAGTCGGGGTCCGCCAGCACCACAGCCAGATCCAACGGGCTCAGCACCTGGAAGGAGGGGCCTGCTTGGAGGAGAGGGCGGGGTTAAGGCTTGGGCGTGACCTAGTAGAATCCCCGCCCCTCGGCACCACCCAGGCCCCGCCCACAGACCGTGCTGGACTTCCGGCTTCCTGGCAGTCAGGAAGACTGAGAAGCTGTAGCTGGTACCCTTGTCCAGGAAGATGCGCTCGGGCAGCTCGTTCTCGGCCTTGAGGTCGTAGATCTTTTCGTAGCTGGTCATGTCAACGTGCACACTGCCTGCATTCCGCCTGTTGCTGGCCAGGTAGAAGTAGTAATCCTAGGCAACGGGGTGCGGGGCAAAGTCAGTGCCCGGACAGGGGGACGGTGAGGGGGAGATCCGGCCTCGGCCCCTTCCCCCGACTCGCCACCCTCTTCACGCACCTGGTCCTGCTTCTTGTTCTTCCACCAGCGCCAGGTGGAGTCGTGCACTGGGTCCGCGTATGGCTGCAGGAATCGAGGCACCGAGGGGAGGGGTGGGTATGTCAAGGGGTGTGCCCAGGCAGGCAGTGTCCCCAGCCTCAGTCCCAGCCCCTGACCCAAACTGAAAGATACACACCCAAGCCCGGCTTTCAGCCTGACCGCCCACCCCTGCCCCCAGCCCAAAGCCATCTCTTCTGAGCAGAGCTCGATCCCCTCCTCGGCCCCCCTTCAGCCTCGGAAGCACCGATGCGGCTCTGCTCTGCTCCGCCCTCCACCGCGGTTCTCCCTCCTGCGTAGAAGCCCCTGCGATACCGCCTCAGGCAGGACCCGGCCCAGACGGCGCCCACCTTGTCGTACTTCGAGTGCAGCTTGAGCAGGTAGTAGACGAGGCCCTGATAGACAGCCAGCGAGTTCTCGCTGTGGAAGCCCCAGGGCTCCCAGACGTGCGGCGGCCGGGCGCGGTAGCGCTCCTGGCGCGTGTAGATCTGCGGGTTGGGCAGCTCCCGCAGATGCATCACCGTGAAGGGGCAGAAGTTGGAGAAGGACAGCGTCAGGTGGCTCCTGAGCGGCGGTAGTGGAGGACGGAAGCTGACTTTCCCGGGATCCGCGCACCAGGAACCTCCGCTGGCCTGCTTCCCACCCCTACGCTGCTGGCTACGCAAGGCTGATCCTGACCCACGCCGCAATCCCTGACCTTCCTCCTCAGGTTCAGCCCCTGGACATATTCATCTGCTTGTCCCTCGACCCCTCAGAACAGAGTCCTGGACCTCATCCTATACTCTCCCCGACCCCTCCACGGTAGTCAACCTTCTAAGGGTTCTTCCACCTCACTCCTCCACCACTCCCAGCTGCCTCCCTGGGCTCCTCTGCAGGTAAGCAGAAGGATGTAAAATCTGACCATGAAGTTCAAGTTCCTCCCTATGACCACCAGGGTCACCTTTTCCGCCTGGTCTCCAGGGCACTTCATTGGCAACGCATTCTGTCCATACTACACTTCCTCTCAGTTCTTGATCACCCAGTCTCCTTTCCACTTGGCACAAGTGGTTCCCCCCTGTCTGGAACACCCTTCTCCATCTACCACCTCATCAGTTCTCCTCACCCGTCATGCACCTCTTCTTGTGGAAGCCCTCCCTGATGCACCTTGCCCCCAGGCTTGGTTAGACCCCTCCTGCTTTGAGCCCAAAGGTTGTCACTGGGGATGGTTTGGTCTCCCCTCCCCCCCACCCCAGAATGGGAGCTTCAGATGGCAATGCCTAAGGCTGTCTGTCTCTATGGTTCAGTATCTTCTCACCCTTGCCGCTCCAAGACATAGTCGTCACTGATCTGCTGGTACATCAGTAGCTGCTCCACGGGCATGAGCCTCTTGACGAGCCTGCCCTGCTGGTTGTCTATCAGGTACACCAGCTGCAGTGGGAAGGCATAGGCCACATGAGCTGGTGTCAGCCACCCTGCAGCTCCCCCATGTCTCCCCAGCGCCATCCCCCCGCCTTGGTACCTGGTACAGTTTTTTGTCTTCATAGAAGAGGGTGACCATGGTCTCATTGGGGGCGTAGAGAGAGGACTGCTGAAGAACCTGGAGGTTGATGTACACCTCCCAGGCCTTGGACGGGAATAGCTGGTACACCTGGTAGCTGCCCTCCAGGAGGTACCAGATCTGGGGGTATGACAGCCGGGTGTGTGTGTGTGAGGCCCATGGGCACTGTGACCCCCACCCCTCCGAGGGGTGAAGACCCCATTCCCTGAGGGGTGAGTCTTGGGTGCTCACCTCCAGCTGGGACCAGGTGAGCCATCTTTCTACTTCTCAGACCCAACCACCTCTGCTTCCAGCCCTCACTGCACATGATAAATTTCTTCAATGTTTCAGTCTGCTTGAGCTTTTATTACTTGCAATGTACCATTTCTAATATACACACTGCCTGAAGGCTGGGGATCTGAGGGCTAAGCCCTCTTTTTCCCTTCTCACTCTTTTTAAGATTCTTTTGTAATGTGGACCATTTTTAAAGTTGTTATTGAGTTTGTTACAATACTGCTTCTGTTTTCTGTTTTGGTTTTTTGGCCCTGAGACATGTGGATCTCAGCTCCCCGACCAGGGATCGAACCCACATCTGCTGCAATGAAAGGTGAAGTGCTAACCACTGGATCGCCAGGGAAGTCTCCCTTCTCGCTCTTTGCACCCTTCAGGGTCTCGGCATCCCCTTGGTCTCAGTTTCCCACCTCTGTACTGTTGCCCACCCTCCCACCCCCTAACACATTTGGCTGTAGACCAAACCTCCTCCTTAGCTTCAGCTTGGAGGATTCTCTCCAGCCTCCAGCACAGCCCCCCTCCATGTGGCCTTCTCTATGAAGCCCTCCCTGACGCATATACCCCCAGACAGGGTCTGAACTTCCATAGGTGCTGTTTTCCCCACTGCAGCCTTGGCTGCCCTGAACTGTCACTGTCTGGGAATGAATCCATCCTCCCAACTGGACTGGGACCCTGTGAGGGCAGGGCCCACAGCTGACTCATTGGCCACTGTGTCTCCAGCACTGGATCGGGTGTGCTGAGCTGCATGGAGGAATGAAAGAGGGCCCCCTATGGACATCCCTTCATGACTCTGAGCACAGACCCTTTACCCTGCTGAGTAACTTTGAAAAAGACACATCCTTTTTGAGTTTGAGGGTTCTCAGCTATAAATGGAGCTTCTGCTGCCCTTCCATTCCCCAGGGTCCCTGAGAATGTTCCCTCTCCTGGGTCCTTTTACCCTGACAGGGGTGGGGGGAGAAGGGAGACCCCTGGGCTTCGGGGCTGGGCAGAAAGGAAGTGGGGAGAGGGGCAGGGCAGTCCACCTCCTCGTTCTCGGTGACAATGGCCATGTCCCCTTGGAACGAGTTCACCAGGTACTTGATGGACAGCTCCTTGGGGAAGTCCGCCAGGTAAATGAAGTTTTCACTGTTAAAACTGAATGGGCAGAGGTGGGAGGTCAGCACACCCAGGTGAGGCCCAGAGGATATCTGCTTCCCTGACTAGTCCTGACATGCCGCCATGAGAATCATCTACTCACTTCTCCACCAGCCTGGTGAGAACACACAAAGGAAGCCTGGGACTCTAGTTTCTGCCCCCACCTCCAAACCTTCTGGCTGAGCTGCCCATCTGTAAACAGGAGCTTTCGACAAAACTGGCAGTTTGCTAACACCCCACAGAGTTGGCTGTGGGTCCTCCAGCTTCCTGGAGGGTGAAAAGCATCCTACCCTCTCCCCAGGCCATGTCCCTCTATTGCTCACACAGGTTGGGTCCTCATAGCAGGTTTCATTTAAGAAAGGATTCCCACCACTGGGACTTCCCTGGTGGTCCAGTGGTTAAGAATCCGCCTGCCAATACAGAGGCTGTGAGTTCAGTCCCACATGCTGCAGAGCAACTAAGCCCGTGCACCACAGCTAATGAGGCCAGTGCCTCAGCTATTGAAACCCGCAGGCCTAAAGCCTGAGCTCTGCAACAAGAGAAGCCACTGCAATGAGAAGCCCGTGCACCATGACGAAGAATAGCCCCTGCTCTCTGCAAATAGAGAAAAGTCAGTGCACAGCAACCGAGACCCAGTGGAGCCAAAAACAAATAAGGATAAACCGTTGTTGTTGTTCTTGTTTTTTTTTAAAAAAGGACTCCCAGCTTTAAAATATCAGCTTCCCCTATTCTATCTCTGCCCACCCCAGCCCATGTTTTCCCCCATGATGGTTCTGATCACTTCTGGCCTTGGGCATACACACCCTGAAAACTTGGTGACTTGAGAAAGGAGCCCCACCCTACGTGGGGCTGGGGAGGCCCGCTCCATACCTCTGGAGGAGGAAGTTGCCCCAGATGAGCAGCAGGTTGTTATACGGGTTGTAGGACATGCCCTTGGGGACCATCGGAAATTTGGTATAGGACTCTGTTCCTAGAATCATCAGGAACTCCAGGCCTCGAGCTGGCAGGGGCACAAGCAAAGTGGACAGAGCAGTGAGGTGGGGTTGCTTGGGCCTCTCCTGGCACCCACCCACTTTTTCAGCCCCCTCTGCCTTCCCCTCCTACCGTCAGGGATGAATTCTGGGATGGTGTAGAGGACAACCAGGCGATCACTGACTACAGGTGGGGAAGACACAGCAAAATCTCCTGAGACCCTGAGCTTTCAAGACCTGCAACTGAGCAAGTCCCCAGCTCCCCAACGCCTCCAACCCCATCCCAACAGCTTCCCATTTGGGCCCACTGTTGTTGCTGTTGTTTAGTTGCTAAGGCGTGTCCAACTCTGCGACCCCATGGGCTGTAGCCTGCCAGGCTCCTTAGTCCTTATAATTTCTCCATGTGAATTATAAAAAGGCACTTCCTCTAAGAGGATACAGTCCTGTGAGGGCAGAGGACTTGATTCCTTGGCTGGGGAGCTCCAGACACAGCCTAAACAACTGTACATGCACACATGCTAAGTTGCTTCAGTAGTATCCAAACCTATGGACTGTAGCCCTAGAGGCTTCTCTTGTCTGGGTTGCCATGCCCTCCTCCAGGGGATCTTTCCAAACCCATGTCTCTTATTGTCTCCTGCATTGGCAGGTGGGTTTTTTTACCACCAGTACCACCTGGGAAGCCTTAAACAACTGTACACACAGCCCTATTCTCACTCCATCAGCTCACATCAAATCTTACTGTGAGCCACAAGGCCCTCCCAGGTCTTGCATTGCTCATGCTTCCAATCTCCCTCCTTCCTCTTCCCCCTCGGCTCCAGTCTCATCGACTTCCTCTCAGTTTTCCCAGGCCACTCGGCCTGTTCTCCACCACTGCCCCTGACCTAGCAGTGGCAGGAGCCACATTTCCTTTCTCCTATCTGTTGAGCACAGATGCCATAAAATGGAGCAGTTCATAACCCCATCTCCTGCCCCTTCCCGCTTAGCAGCCCCCAGTGGTGCCCCAATTACCTAGGTCATAGCTGACCACCTGGAAATACTTCGAGGAGGTAGGGCCTACAATCTCCACCAGCATCAGTAGATTGTAGTCACCAGCAACGAATACAGCCCAGGTGATGGAGCAGTTGACAACTGGGGAGGGAAGGCAGAAGTCCAGAAAAGAGCCCCAGCCCCGTCCCCCTCCATGGTCTCTGTGACTGCCAGGCCAATCCTGGTGACTCTCCACCCATCCCCAAGAAACTGCCCATCTTTTCCTGTGGCCTCTCCCACCTTTCCCTGCTCTCCCACATCCCCAGTTGCCCCCCAACCCTCCCAACCCTCCCAAGCCCACCCTATTCCCCACCCCCGCAGACCCATGTGGGAGCGGGATACCTAGAATTGCACTGCACACGGACCGATTCCTGGGCAACAACTTGAAGGACACGAGGCCATCTGAGGAGCAGAGCAGGTCAATGCTCAGGCCCTTCCCAGCCCATCTGGCACCCACCACATCAGCTCTTCAGTTATCCAGGGTTGAATACCTGTGCCTCCTTCTTAGCCCTGGGGCAGCTCTCCCCCAACTGGCCTTTCTGTCCATTCACAACTGGCCTATCAGAATATGTCTGCCTGCTGGTCACAGTAATTGGCTCAGGTCTGAGCACATGACCCAGAAATGGGCCAGTCAGAGTGAACCCTGGGATTTGTGCTAAGGCCAATGGGGAAAGAGTGCTGTCAGGGGTGACTCAAACCAGTGGGAGATGTGAGCCCCAAGTTCCTGGATGCCATCTCTAACCCCTGTGAAGGGAGTGTCTATATGAAAATGAGGCCAAATTATAGGGCTAATAATGATAAACCCTTGAATAGGACTCACCATGTCCCACATATGTCAACTTATTTAACCCTGATATCAACACGATGATGTGGGTATCAGTATTCTCAGCCCCATTTTGCAAATGAGGTAAGTGCCCGAAAAGAGAGGCTGAGTTACCTGTCCAAAGCCACAGGTGACTTGAGTTGGGTGTGTTAGAGCAGTCTCTCTCCTGAACCCATACTATAATCCCTAGGCTATACTCCCTTGCCAAGGGATAGTCCTGATGATTCACCCTGCAAGCCCTGGATCCAGCTATGCCTGATGCTGCATCTGAGTCTTTTCATCTATGTAAGTCTACACATTTTCTACGCTTAAATTATTTTTGAATTGGGCTTCTGCCCTTAGAAACCAAACACATTGTGAAAGATACCTAACCGCTCCCCGCTCCCACCAAGCCCCACGACTACAAAGGCATAAACCCATCTCGACTCTGGGACCCCTCCTGAAGGAATACGGTGAGGGGTGAGGACCTGGGGTCAGAACTCTTAGGGAGTGAGAGGGTCCTGAGGGGTCTCTTGGGCTGCTGGAGACTCCTGACCTTACCTGTGATGGTCCCAAAGTGGACATAACCTTCGTTCTTGCCAGTGGTGAGGGCCATCACATACTCGGAGCCATTGCTATGGAAATGCACGGGGCACAACCTCTTGATGCACTCATTAGCCAGGACTCGAACCCATCTCTCTGTGGGGGCCAGCATAGACATTTGAGCCTGGGACCTTGAGTCCCCAGATCCAACTATGCCTGAAACCAACATGCTCCTGAGTTTTCTAGCTGTCTAGGCCAATAAACACCCCTTTCTTTGACTTACATCTATTCTAACCTGGTTCTTCCCACTGTCAAAGTTCCCTAAGAAAGAAAGTGAGAAACATAAAGTCTTTGGGAACACTCACTAATGAAATAGGGGTTACAGTGTGTGTAAGTTTCTGTGATCCTGTAAGTTCACATCGCTCATTTACATGGGGAGGGGCAGGGGGGTAAGAAGAACTAGGGCTTTGATATCATTTAAAAGACAAGCCAAATCCAAAGTCTCTCTTAGGATTTCCCTGGTGGTCCAGTGGCTAAGGCTCTGCACTCCCAATGCAGAGGGGCTGGGTTCGACCCCTGGTCAGGGAACAAAACCCCTGACCAGGATTTTGCCACAACTAAGAGTTCACATGTCTCAACTAAAGATCCCACGTGCTGCAACTAGGACCTGACACAGCCAAATAAATAAATTTTTAAAAATTAAGTCTCTCTTTTCCTCCCTGATCAATCTCCTTCATGGCTCTGCCTTTCCAACAGCCCGTCCCTGATTCTCTCTTTGCCTGACTTCCTGCCCCTCCCCAGCGCCCCACACTTCTCACTTGGTGTGCATCTCTCTCTGGTACATCTTTGACCCTCTCTGCGCCTTTGCATGTGAGTGAGCATGCACGTGTCTCTCTCTCTCTCTCTGCTCCCTCCCTTCACTCTCAGGCCTCTCTCTGTCCTTAGTGGGTTCAAGACTCCTGGGAAGGTCTGGATGAAAGCCTTGCCCCAATATACAGAGGGTAGGAGGAGGTGCCTGCAGGGTGGGAAGTGATGCTTCAGGAGCTTGGGAAGTCCCTCCTACATCCCCCTCTCCCCACCCATGGTAATTCCATTCCCAGGTGCCTCCAGTGATGGATTCACTGAAGCGCCCTCCCTGGGGCTCCAACAGGCAGGTCCCATGGCCTAAGATACCCAGGACGCCCGGGTATGTGACCCCTCACCGCTGCCATGATTGCTCTCGTAGAGTGTGGTGTAGGTGCCTGTGAAATAGTAGATGAGCTGGTTCTGCCGGATGAAGAGGGTGCTCTCAGTGGCAATGGCATCGTAGATGGTGGCGGTAAAGCTGGCTTGGGGGCAGTAGAAGGAGCCTACCCAGCAACTGTCAATGCTCAGCTGCAGGGGAGTGGAGCCAGTGGTGAACAGGTGGCCTTGATCTCCACTCCCGTGTCCCACCTTGGCGGGAGGCACTTGCTCTGACCACTGCTCGGGATGGACATATGTGGCTGCCCCCAGGGCCCCCTTCCTGCTCACCCTGCAGCAGCATCTTGGTGGCCAAACTTCCCTCAACAAACTTCCCCTGGAAGGAGGCGACCCAGGCCAGAGCCAGTGGGGGCTTGCTGTGCTCCCTGGAGTTGGGCAGTGCTCCATGTACTCATTGGGGCTCAGCACACCTGGTTCCCCAGGCCACAGTCAGGATTGTCCTCATGTGGATCCACAAGATTCCATGCTTGGCCTAAGGCACATTTTAATAATCCTATTCTGTACATTTTTTTTTAATGACCCCATGGAGCCTACCACGTTCCTCCAGCCATGGGATTTTCCAGGCAAGAATACTGGAGTAGGTTGCCATTTCTTTCTCCATGTACTTTTTATATTTATTTATTTTTGACTGCGCTGGGTCTTTGTTGCTGCCCGTGGGCTTTCTCTAGTTGTGGTGTGAGGGCTTCTCTTGTTGCAGAGCACGGGCTCTAGAGCACGGGCTTCAGTAGTTGTGACTCATGGGTTTGGTTGCCCCACGACATGTGGGATCTTCCCAGACCAGGGATCAAACCCATGTCCCCTGCACTGGCAGTTGGATTCTTAACCACTAGACCACCAGGGAAGTCCCTATCCTATTCTATTTGAACAACTGGCCATCTGAACTCACCAACTAATCACTAACACTGGCAATATCATTAACAGTGGGAAAGCATCACCAATGAAGGGCTCTTGCCTAAAAGATTGAGTATAACTTTAACCAAGCTTCTAGAACTTACTACCAGTTTATAGGCAATATAGGGTGTTGTGGATAGAATTTACATGTTGAAGCTCTATCCCCCAACATGAGTCTGCTGGGGCCTTAAAGGAGATAATTAAGGTTAGAAGCAAGGTTATAAGCGAGGTTATAAGGGTGGGGCCCTAATCCTATTGGACTGGTGCCCTTATCAGAAGACGAAAAGACACCAGAGATCTCTCGCTCTCCACTCATGCACACGGAGAAAAGGCCACATGACGACAATAGTGAGAAGGCAGCCATCTGCAAGCCACAGAAAGAGGCCTCACTAGAAACCAACCCTGATGACACCTTGATCTTGGACTTCCAGACTCCAGAACTACAAGAATATAAATTTCTGTGCCTAAGCCACCCAGTCAGAGGTATTTTATTATGGCACCCTGAGACTAATATTCAGTACATAAGGTCAGAGGAATAAGCTAATTGATTCTATGAAGAAGAAAACAGCCAGGGCTTCCCTGGTGGCTCAGGGGTAAAGAATCCACCTGCCAATGTAGGAGACGTGGGTTAGATCCCTGGTCCAGGAAGATCCCACATGCTCTGGAGCAACTAAGTCCTTGAGCTGCAGCTACTAAACCTCATGTGCCTCAAGCCTGTGCTCTGCAATAACAGAAGCCACCACAATGAGAAGCCCATGCACTGCAGTGAAGAGTAGCTCCTATTCACCACAACTAGAGAAAGCCCACACACAGCAATGAAGACTCAGCACAGCAAAAAAAAAAAAAAAAAAAAAGCAGTAAACTGTCCAATTCTATAGGACAATAGGCCTGGCTTCTCAAATTACCTGAAAAAAAAAAAAAAGGTGATTTGATGGTTGTGAGTCAGGGGAGAGCAGACTTACAGGTGAGAAGAGAATTAAGAGAGTTCACAACCAAATGCAACGTGCACATCCTGATTCAAGCAAACCAACGGTAAAACACATTTTCAGATAATGGGGGAAATTTAACTATGACCAGGTCAGATGATATTGGACTGGCCCCAAAAAATCATTTGGATTTTTCTGTAACAGCTTACAAAAAATCCAAATGATTTTTTTTGGCCAACCCAATATTAGGGGCTTATTGTTAATTTTGCTGGGCATCATAATGGCATTGTGATTTTATTTCTTCAAAGTCCTAATGTGTTAGAGATATTTCCTCAAGTATTCTCAGAATTTACAAGTGAAATGGTATGATGGCTAGAATTTTCTTTGAAACATTCCAGGAAAAAAAAAAAGGACAAAAAAAAAAGCAAAATGTTAATTATTGAAGCTGGGTTCATTATACAATTCTCTCTACTTTTGTGTTTGACTGAAATTTTCCACTAGAAAGTGTAACTTTCTACTAACTTTTCCAACAAAAAGCATAAATCAGAGATTTCCCAGTGGTCCAGTGGTTAAGACTCTGAGCTTTCAATGTCCAGCGCATGGGTTTGATTCCTGGTTGGGGAACTAAGATCCCACATGTTGTGCAATGAAGACAAGAAAAAATTATTTTTTACTTTTAAAAAGTATAAAACTCTAGGCTCTGCTGCTAAGAGAAATTTCACCAAGTTAAGAAGAACATGAACATTCTCACTTCCCTACCTATTCAGTACATAAGAGATTTCTACAGACTACAGACTTTGTTGCTATGCCTGGGCAAACTAACCTGCACCCTCTCAATCTGTCATTTTGACTGGATATCACAATGTATTGCCCTGTTAATATTTAAAGTGCTGCCTCTGTTTTCTGAAAGAAACACTTGGAAAATTTCTTCGTTAAACTAGAAGATCATCACACTTCCCATCTTCCTCCACATGCCTGAGAAAAAGAAAAGCTGTGAGTCAGCTGGATTTCTTATTTGGGCAGTGTTAGAGAGTTCTGACTCATTTCCCCCAACAAGCAGCCTGTTGGGGTTCTCTGACCACAATGACTGAATCAAGGTGGGCAAATGGTGAGCCACACCAAGTGGAAGGAATCTTGGGATTTGAGGGTTAGAAGATAATGGGAAAGATAATTCCCACTGGATGTGGGCCTGAGAAGATGCAACCTTTGCAGTTCCAAGTCCAGAGATGTTTGAGCATAAAGTCAATCATTTGGACAAGCTCTGGGAGTTGGTGATGGACATGGAAGCCTGGCGTGCTGCAGTTGCAAAGAATTGGACATAACTGAGTGACAGAACTGAATCGGAATGAATTGAAAGTCAATACAGAGGAACCAGGTCTGAGAACTAGAGAGAGAGAGAGAGAGAGAGAGAGAGAGAGACTCAGATTTGGTGACACTGTTTGAAATCCTGGATCAAACTGGACCTGAAGTCCTAAATTTTTTTGGTTACATGAAGTAACAAATTCCCTCTTCCACTTTTGGCAGGTGGCAAGTTATGCTCAACTCCATTTCTCCCATTTTCTTTGGTAATGGAGTTTTAGCAGGGTATGTGCCAGCCAAGTGGAATTTAGACTTCCCAGCCTCCCTTGCAGTGGCTGTTGCCAATTGACTAATTCCTCAGCAATGGAATGTGACTGCAAGTGAAACTTGCTTAAGAGAAAATAGCTCACCCTTCACTTATGCTCTTTCTCCTTCCAAGCTGGCTGCAGTATGGACATGGGCATGATGCAGCTCAAGTCACACAGGTAAGATCAACACCTGGGGCCTAGAGGATGGTGAAGCAGGAAAGTAAAAGAGATTGGGCTTTCTCACATCTGGACTGTTTGGCAAATGAGCAATAGCACCCATTTAAGCTGTTCTCTCTCAGGGGTCTCTTTGTTACAGCATCTTTTTTTTTTTTTTTTTTTTGGATGCACCATTCAACTTCTGGGATGTTCTCTGACCAGGGACTGAACCTGGGCCACAGCTGTGAAAGCCTGGAATCCTAATCACTAGGCTTCTGGGGAATTCCTGTTACAGCATCTAAACCTGACCAACACAGGGCTGAAGATAGCTGCATAGTGTGTGTGTGTATGCAGGGGGTGAGGGGGCAGGCGTTGTTATGAGATCCTAGGGGCAGTCGACAGGAGTGCTAAGGTGTGAAACAGGAAGAAAGAAGGAAAATAGAGCAGAGACTGCAATGTGGGAAAAGTCCTTGTTAAAAAATGAGAATAAATAGACTGATTTTGGAGTGATGGAAATTCTTTGGAAATAGAGTTGGTGATTGCACAATACCAATATATTCAATGGCCCTACACTGTTCACTTTAAAATGGTGAATTTTATGAATTTTATTATTTTTATCTTGATAAATTTAAAAAAAAAGGATGCCTGAAGTTCAAGTTGCACTTTTAATTCTCATGACGAAACTCCCCTCCTTTGTCCTCCAAATCTCTTCAGCAGAATTCATTGGCTACATCTCTCCTGTGGGTGTGTTTGGGTCAGAAGCATGAAAACTGACCAAGGTCTGCAAAGACCTGGGTCAGAACCAGAGAGAGAGCTGACAGGACAGCTCTATAGACCAGAGATGTTCTATAAACAGAAAGAGTTCAACAGAAGCAGGAATTCAGAGCCAGAGGGAACTGAGAGAACATTAATCCACCTAGGGTTGTCAGAAATCCATGTGTGGGAGGACTTCGCTAGTGGTCCAGTGGTTAAAAATCTGCCATTCAATGCAAGGGACTCGGGTTCTATCTCTAATGGAAGAACTAAGATCCTATATGCCTCGGAGCAACTAATCCCATGGGCCACAGTACAAAAGATGCCACGTGATGCAATGAAGATCCCACATGCTGCAACTAAGACCTGATGCAGGCAAAAATAAATAAGTAAACAAGTATTTAAAAAAGAAATCATGATGGCACTTTCAACTTTGATGGGAGGAGGTTCAAGCAGTCTTTCGGGGTTGTTTCGGTGTACATTGTTATCTTAGACACAATTAACAACCAGCATCTTGTCCCCCCAGCTTGTGACAAAGCTACCCTGATTTCACTCCAGGGGAGTCATCCTCTCACTGTCTCTTGTCTTGGCTACCCTCCTCATTAGGACAGATCTCATGACTCATGCTAAGCAGCTGGCACGCTCCATTCTTTTGGGACACATGACCCAAGCTGAGCCCATCAGGACCAAGCAAATAAATTTCAGGAATTTTTTTTTTTTTAATCTATTTGGGAAAGAGGTGCTCCCTTTCTCTGCCTATGAGCTGGGATGATATGAATCACTTTGAGGATGGAGTTAATCCAGAAGAAGTGAAGCCGAAAGTTGGAGTCCTCATTCGAACCCTGAATCAAGCCAGGCCTGCAGGCTGCTCTGTGTCCAGGCTTTGCAGTTGGGTGCACATATTCAATTTTATTTCTCTGCTGAAACCAAACCGGTTTGGAGTTCTGCCTACAACTGAGATTAACCCAAACGTGTTTGTGTTTCACACTGAAAGGACCTCGCTTCAGACACTGTTTCCATGTTTTGTAAGTAATATAGGCTCACAACGCCAAATTTGAAACCCTAGGGGCCAGGTGTATATTGAAATTCGGAATTTTCCAGTGTTTAGAAGGTAAGATGACACATATATGAGGCTTCCTCAGTGGCTCAGAAGTACAGAATCCATCTATAATGCAGGAGATGCTAGAGCCCCCTGGATCGGGAAGATCTCCTGGATTAGGAAATGGCAACCCATTCTACTATTTTTGCCTGGAAAATCCCATGGACAGAGGAGCCTGGCGGGCTACAAAAGAATTGGATATGACTGAGTGACTGAGTATGCACCGTGGCACATATATACCACCCAAACACCCAGTGGGGTCTGGGGCAGCACCCCATAATCAAATTCCTTAACATTTCTGCAGGGCAGCATCAGAATATTATTAAATGGAATGCATAAAGATTAAAAAAAAGAAGTCTTTGTTAGCTCAAGTCAGAGTTTCTCAACAAATGCATTTTAGCCTTGAATTGTGAAAATGTCATTTCAAAGATTTGGGATTTCAGAACTACAAATGGTGGACCTATAAATAATAATAGCTTCAACTCCCATATTACTCATTCTGGGTCTGACTGCTATGCATTTGTGTCATTCTTAGAATGATTCTGTAAGGTAAATATAAATGTCGTTCCCATTTTACAAATGGGGAATCCGAGGCCAGGGTAGGTGAAGCGACTTGCCCAACATCACACAGCCAGGAGATGGCAGAAGGAGGATTTGAACCCAGGCTGCCTGGCTGCAAGGTCTGTCTTTTGTTGATGTTATCCGCCTCTCCTGGGCGTTGGTGTGCCTCTGGGGACCCCTTCCATGGCCCTGGGCCCCTTTCCACTTTAGGAGCTGGAACCCAGCCCACCTTCTGCCCTGCAGTGACTCACCTCCACGAGAAAGAAGTCCTTGAAGTTTGTGTCAGTCAGTAGGACGGTCTTCTCCTCAGGGATGCCACCCAGGATGAGTACAGGTGTCTGGTCCACAGTATACCACAGTGGCCTCGACGGGACATTCACAAAGTACCGGGGTATCAGATGGAAGAGCTGCGGGGCAGGGGCCAGAGGGCTGCTCGACAACCCCTTCTCTTCCCACGGTTCTGTCTCGTTTAAGGTAAAACCTAAAGAACTTACCCTGACTCACAAGGCCATGTGCAATTTGCCTCCATCACCTCTCTGACCTCATCCTCCACCACTCTCCCCCTTGCTCACTTTCTCCCGGCCATGTGGGCTTCCTCACTGCTTCTCAGAGCCTTTATACCAACTGTTCCCTCTGCTCGAACTGCTCTTCTAGTAACCACGTAATTCCTGCCTCTTCTCCACCAAGACTGTACTCAAATGTCGACCTTCTCAATTACACCTTTCTTGAGCATCCCTTTAAACACTGCCACCCCTCCTGTGTGTGTGCTCAGTTGTGTCTGACTCTTTGTGACCCCATGGACTGTAGCCCGCCAGGCTCCTCCGTCCATGGGATTTCCCAGGCAAGAATACCATAGTGGGTTGCCATTTCTTACTCCAGGGAATCTTCCTAACCCAGGAATCAAACCCATGTCTCCTGCGTCTTCTCCACTGACAGATGGATTCTTGAGCCTTAAGCCACCTGGGAAGCCCCCGCCACCCCCTCTTACCTAATTCCTAATTCCCCTCACTCTGAATTCTCTTCAGCGCACTGACCACATTTTAACCTGCTGTGGAATTGACTTGATCTCCTGTGTGCTGGTCTGGTGTCTGTCTCTCCCACTAGACTGTCAGCTCAAAGAGAGGGCACGGATTTGAGTCTGTGTGTTCGCTGCTACGTTCCCATGGTGCCACACTCTGTCCTCAGGAAGTGCCTACTGAATGAATGAATGCACTATGATTAAGAATATGGGTGCAGGAGTCAGGTAGACACAGTTTCAAGTCTGTGGGTAAATGGCTCCATCCTTTTGGGGCCTCAGTTTGCTCCTCTTTAAAATGGGTATGCTAGAGGACCTTCTCTCACAGGTCACTGTCAAGACTTAAAGTGTACTTAGCAGATTATGGCACCGGGGGCCCTTCCCATCACCGAGGCCCCCTCACCTCATTTCCCACAGTGAACTGGAGTTCCTGGTCTCGCTGTCTGTCCAGGAAGCCGTTAATGTTCACACGAAACCTGGAGGTGGGTGTGGGGCAAGCACCGGTGTGGGCTCTGCCTGCTGCCAGAGCTCACAGCCACTTCCCTGCCCCTTCCCTGCCACTTCCCCTGAGGACCCCTCTTCTCTTCTGTGGGAATCGGAAATTAGGAAGCCCCTCCCAGAGTCTCTGCGCCTCGCCCACCCCAGGATTGGGAAAGGGCACCTTTTATTGGGAATGAAGGGCCCCAGGCCATTGCTGCTAACGTCCACGCGCATGACCACGCTGCCGTTCTTGATGGGCATGGGCGTGTACCAGCTCATGAGACACACCTCCTCTGCGTCACATCTCTCTGCTGGCAGGCGGTGGGTACTGAGGCTGCTGGGGCCTTCCAGTAGCCTCCCCCCACGCCGACCGCAAACCACTGGGATCCCCCCGCAACTCCCTTCTCAGCCATGGACCCCCCTGCGGCCTCTGTGTGGTTCCATCTGGGCCCCGGAACCTGCTGAGCCCTCCTTGGCTACCCCCCTCCCAGGTCAAAGATCCCTGTGAGGCCCGCAACCACCACCACACCCCCACCCAGTCATAGGCCCCTTGAGACCTAGAACCCAGCTGAGCTTCCCTGGCCACGCCCCACACGGCCACGCCCCCACACGGCCACGCCCCCACGGCCACGCCCCCACCCACCAGGCGGGCTGTGACCCTCCAGGCCCACCTGGGCTGCGGAAAGGGGCTGCCTCCATCTGGATCTGCAGCTGCTCTATCTTCCAGCGATGGAAGTTGACTGGGGACTGGAAGGTGACCAGCACCACCGGCTTCAGCCCTGTCAGATGGCCCTTGCGGACCAGGGCCTCGGAGGACTGAGGGCGAGATGGCCCCACAGGGGTGTCCTTAAGAGAGCCTATGGGTCCCCCTGCCTTGACCCCACCTTTACTAGCCTGCCTTCTTCCTAGGCTGGGTCAGGAGAACAGACTCTCCACCGTGGGAAGGTCAGAGAACATGGTCTAGGTTTGGGGCTCCGGAGGGGGATGGAACCAGTCTAGGAGAGGGGGCGGAGGTGCTTCCGGCTGGGAGGGAGTCAGGAGGTCTTCCCGGAGGAGGTGAGTCCAGAGCAAGGTCCTCAGACAGAAATTAGACGTAGGGAATGCATAGGGCAAGAAAGCATAGGACAAACAAAAATATAAAGGTGGGAGCACCTGGCACCCACAACTACTAGCAGCCTCTTCCCTCACTTCAGGGATTCCATTCTCACTCCTGGGGCTTCTGGTTTAGGGACTGGGATCTGGGGTATGATGGGGCAGTTAGCCCCTGGAGAAAGGCATGGCAAGCTGCTCCAGTATTCTTGCCTGGAGAATCCCACGGACAGAGGAGCCTGGAGGGGCTACAGTCCATAGGGTGACAAAGAGTCAATCATGACTGAGGTGACTTAGCAAGCAGGCAGGCAGGGGCAGTTATACAGAAAGGAACTAGAGACGAGGGTGACGGGTGGCCAGGGACAATCTCCCAGGAATGCCAGGATCCTGGCTGGGCTAAGAAGGGAGGGCAGGGCTTAGAGCAGCAGTCCCCAACCTTTTTTGGCACCAAGGACCAGTTTAATGGGGAAAATTTTTCCACTGAGCAGGATTGGGGGGTGGGGGGAAGGTTTCGGTATGATTCAAGTGCATTACATTTAGTGTGCACTTTATTTCTACTATTATTACATCAGCTCCACCTCGGAACATCAGGCATTAGATCCCAGAGTTTGGGGACCCCTGACTTAGAGTGGAGATGGAAGGAGGAAGACATGTATTCTAGGGTATGTGCTGTGCTGTGCTTAGTCATTCAGTTGTGTCCAAGTCTGCTACCCCATGAACTGTAGCCTGCCAGGGTCCTCTGTCCATGGGGATTCTCCAGGCAAGAATACTGGAGTGGGTTGCCATGCCCTCCTCCAGGGGATCTTCCCAACCCAGGGATGGAACCCAGGTCTCCCACACTGCAGGAGGATTCTTTACCGTCTGAGCCACCAGGGAAGCCCATGCATACTGGAGTGGATAGCCTATCCCTTCTCCAGAGGATATTCCCGACCCAGGAATCAAACTGGGGTCTCCTGCATTGCAGGTGGATTCTTTACCAGCTGAGCTACCAGGGAAAGCTCATTCTCGGGTATAGAACAGCATTAATATTTCATTTTTTTGGCTGGATCATGGGGTATGCAGATCCCTGATAAGTGATCAAACCCATGCTCCTGGCACTGGGAGTATGGAGTCTTAACCACTGGACCACCAGGGAATTCTCTAGAAGAGCATTAGCAAAGGCTTGGAGGCATCCCCAAGAGACAGCTGTGCTCAAGTCACTGTGGGCAGGGGTGTGGGGAGAGCTATGAGACACAGGTGGGAGATTTAATGAGTCTGATTCCTTTGGCACAGGCCTTCATCCTGAGGAATGCCTTGGCCAGGGCCCTTTCAATCCTGCCCCCTACACCTGTCCCAGCCCTGCCTCTGGCTTCCAATCACAGGGGAGCAGATGCTGGTGGGTTGGGGAGCTCTTCCCTATCAGGGCTATAGTGGCCACAACTGCCCTGATGCTGTCCACCCTTAACTCTTTTCTGGACCAAGCATCAGCCTCCTCCCTGTCTCCTTGCTCCTGCTCTGCCCCCCATTAAGCCTGTTAACACTTGAATCTCATCACATCCCTCCTCTGTTCAAAACCTCATGGCTTCATCTTACTAGAGAGAAAGCCAGGTCTCACTCTCCCCTCCCACTGTCCCCATCGCTGAGTCTGCTCCAGCCACACACGGGCCTCTGGGCAGTTCCTCATATACACCGGCCTCGGTCCTATTTCAGGGCAGCTGCACCTGCTGTTCCCTCAGCTCCAGTGTTTTCCCCAGTTCTCTCCCTTTTCATCATTCAGGCCTCTGCTCAAGCTCTTCAGAGACCTTCCCCAAACACTCCAGCTAACACCTTCACCTCATTTTATTTTCATCTTTGCACTGATTGCACTAATAAGTTGTTTTCTGTATTTACTTGTCAATTGTCTGCTTCCCTGGTGGGCTGAATCCAGAAGAAGCATCAGGCCACATTGTTTATCACTGTACCGCCTCCCCAACCCATTGTGAAAAAAATAAAAAGACGGTCTGACTCAGAGTACGTGTTGCATGAACAGATAAAGGAATGACTATCAGGCTTTCACAGATAAGGAGAGAAAGTTGATAAGAGTCAACTCTCGGCCCAGGTCACTCTCTAGAAACTTGTTGCTAGCATTCACTTTCTGTGAACCAGCCACTGTGCTCAGTGCTTCATACATATTTAATCATTTTATGAAGTGGGTATGATCATTATTGTAGCCTTGTTAAGGATGAGGAGACTTTGGTACAGAGAAGTTAAGTGACTTGCCTGAGATCACTCAGTTGTTAGGAGCAGGACTGGGGTTGGAAGCCAGGCAGCCTGGCTCCAGAGCTCAAAGGATTCACTATCATGCTATACTTCCTCCAGATAAATATGAGTCCATGGTAGATTCAAACCAAGGTCTGTAGCCTTCAGAACTTTCAGTTCTAAACCACAGCATTCTGCTTATTTCAGCCAAAACAATTTTAAAGAACAAACTTGGAGGACTCAGACTTCCCAATTTGAAAATTAATACAAAGCTACAGTGATCAAAGCAGTGTCATACTGGCATATGGACAGACATATAGAACAATGGAATAGAATTATATCCAGAAATATACCCTTATACTTATAGTCAATTGATTTTTGACAAGGATGTCAAGACAATTCAATGAGGAAAGAATAATCTTTTCAGTCCTGGCATAACTGGATATTCCCAGGTAAAAATTAGACCCCTACCTCACACTATATACAAAAACTAACTCAAAATGAATCAAAGGCCCACATAAGAGCTAAAACAAACAAACAAACTCTTAGAAGAAAACATGGGAGTAAATTTTCATGATTTGTGGTTAGGTAAAGCCTTAGACAACACCAAAAGCACCAGCAACAAATGAAAAAAAAATAATTGGGCTTTATCAAAAATTAAAACTGTGGTGCCATTGTATGATATGTGAATTATATCTCAATAAATGTAAAGCTTTAGTGCTTTAAAGGACATCATTAAGAAAGTGAAAAGACATGGAATGTGAAAAATATTTACAAATTATATATCTGAGAAGGAACTACTTTCCAGTATATAAAAAGAAAATTTATAATGTTACAATAAAAAGACAAATAACCCAGTTTTTAAATGGGCAAAGGATCTGAACAGACATTTCTCCAAAGAAGATAGATAAATGGCTAATGGGCATATGAAAAGATGTTCAACATCATTAGTTACGAGGCAAATGCAAATCAAAACCACACTGAGATGCCATTTCACACATACTAGATGGCAAGAATCAAAGAAATGGACAACAACAAATGATAATATAGACAAACTGGACCCCTCATACACTGTTTATGAGAATGTAAAATGACATGGATTTGCTTTGGAAAACAGCCCAGCAGATCCTCAAAAGTGAAACAGAGTTATCATGTGACCCAGAAATTCCTTTTCTAGGTATATACTGAAGAGAACTGAAAACAGATGCTTACACAAACATGTATACACATGTTCATAGCAGCATCATTCATAATAACCACCCTCAAAGTGGAAATAACTCAAATCGCCATCACTTAATGAATAGCTAAGCAAAATGTAGCACATCTGTACAACTGAATATTGTCATTGTTCAGTTGCCCAATCATGTCTGACTCTTTGTGACTCCATGGACTGCAGCATGCCAGGCCTTCCTGTCCCTCACCATCTCCCAAAGTTTGGCCAAATTCAAGTCCATTGCATCGGTGACTCATCCATAAAAAGGAAATACTGATCCATGTTATAACATGGATGGGTCTTGAAAACATGTTAAGTGGAAGAAGTCAGATACAAAAGCCCACATATTACTTGATTCCATTCTTTATATGAAATGTCCAGAATAAGCAATTTCACAGAAGTAGAAAACAGTGGTATCCAGGGGCTCGGGAGGGTGGGGGTACAGGGTTTCCTTTTGAGGTGATGAAAATGTGCTGGAACAAGATAGTGGTGATGATTGCACAACTTTGTGAATATACGAAAAACTATTGAACTGTTTTTTGTTTGTCTTTATTTTGGGCTGTGCTGGGCAGCTTGTAGAATTTTAGTTCCCCAACCAGGGATCAAACCTACCCTCCATGCACACCAAGCCGGGAGTCCTAGCCACTGGACTGCCAGGGAACTCTTGAATTGTATATTTTAAAATGGTGAATTTTAGGACATGTGAATTCTATCTCAATTTTAAAAAATATTTTCTTTACTTTATGAGGAAAATATCTGTTTCTTTTTTTGACCCCAATATCTGGCATGTGGGATCCTAGTTCCCTAACCAGGAGCCTAACCTGTGCCTCCTGCAGGGGAACCTTTCAGTCTTAATCACAGGACCACCAGGGAAGTCTTTATATATCTGTTTTTTTTTTTTTTTTATGGAAATCAAAAGCTAACAAGCACCAACTATGTGCCTGGTGAGATACCAGGAATCTTCTTGAATCTTTAAGGTCCCTGGGGTTCAATGGTGCCATGCCTATTTAAATGTTAGAAAGGGGGAAAACTGAGGCCCCAACAGAATAAGCGTCCCCCGCCCCTGCACCCACTCACCACATCTCCTGTGCAGGAGTAGTTGATCTTCAGGTAGTAAGGAAAGCCCAGGTATGTCTGCAAGGAGATGATGAGCAAATGTCCAGAGCCCAGAAGGGTGCAGCTCCAGGACCTCTCCCATTCGGCTGCCCCCAGTCTCCTCACCTCGTCCGGGTCGATGGGTGCGTCCACTAGCAGGTCGAACACTTTGTCCACTGTGTACAGCTCTTGATCGACGAAATGATCGATCGCGTCGTTCTTGCCTACTGATTCTAAGTTGTTCAAGACAACCTGCCAGGTGCACTCCTGGGTTTCCTGTATCGCCCACAACCTCCACGGTGCCAACAGCACCACCAGCAGTGCCCACAGCGCCCGCGGGACTCGGAGCCTCGGCCACGGAGCAGGGCCAGCAGGAAACATCTCGGGCAAGTGGGTAACGTGGCTTCAACCTGGAGAAGGCGGAGGTCACCAGCCGGCTAGACTGTTCTAGGTAGGCGCCGTCTTAGATCCCGCCTTATTCCTGCGCCCCGTCCAGTCCCTGCTCCTGGCCCCACCTGTGCTCAAACGTCTGGCCCCACCCCTATTCTTGCTCCTCGCTCCACTCCTACTTTTGCTCCTGGCTGCGGTCCTGTTCTTGCTCCAGGTTCCTCTCCTGCTCTCACTCCTGGCTTCTCGCCTGTTCTTGCTCCACGTTCCTCTCCTGCTCTCGCTCCTGGCTTCTCGCCTGTTTTTGCTCCTGGCTCCGCCTGTGCTCTTGCTCCTGGCTCCACCTCTGCTCCAGACCTCGGGCCGGCAATTAATGCTCTTCCGGACCCCACCTCTGCTGCTACTCCAGGGCTCTCCCCTACTGTTGCTCCTGGCCATGCCCTTACCCCTGGTTTCGCCCCGCCTCCCAGCCTCACCCCTTAACCTTGCCCTATCCTTCTTTGCTCTGCCTCTGCTCTGCCTCCGACCCCTACTCTTCAGTCGGTCTCTATTTCTGTTTCTCGGTTTAGCTATGCCCCACCTATTGCCCCCAGTTCCTCTCCTCGCAAACCTGAGCCTGGCTCCGCCCCCACGTCTTGCCCCGCCCCCCCACATTTCTCCGCATCGCCCCTTTCTCCGTGCTCGGGCCCTGCCCAGGTACCAGATCCTGCCTCTAGACCCGTCCCTCTCCCGAACCTGCGCCTTCCCCACGCCCCACCTCTTCCCCTGTCCTCGCTTCGATTTCTCGCCTGTAGCTTGCCCCTCGTTCGGCTTCTGCGCCTTGTCCCTCCCCTTATCGACCCGCCCTCCCCCCTCATCCTGGGGGAGGTGGTCTTCCCAAGCCCGTTCCTTGCCCCGCCCCCTCCTATGACCCCGCCCCTTCTCGGTGGAGACCGTTTCTTTGCCTCGGGAACTCTCCTCGCCCTGGGCCTTCCGCTCGCTCCGCGCCCTCTCTGCGCCCTGCACCTCCTCGTTCCCTGCCGGCGCTGCCTTGTCTGTCAGCACTTTCTCGGTCCTCACCTTCCCCCTGAACCGCGGTACCTTGTCTCCTCCCCTCGTCTTCTCGCCACCTCTTTCCATGCCCTGGACAGCCCAGCTCTAAGCTCCGCCTCTTCTAGCCCCGCCCCTATGCATCGCCCGGCTCCTTCTCTCGGCCTCTCCAGGCTCCTCGCCCCGCCCCCTCTCCGCCCCGCCCCTTCTGTGCCCAGTCCCTGGACTCTCCTCCTCTTCCTAAGCCTTTCCCCGCCTCTCCTCCCCCCGCCCCTCTCCGCCCCTTCTTAACCCCGCCCCCACCCCCCGCATCCCTCCCAGAGAGGCCCCAGACCTCCCTCTTCTCCCTGCCCGGTGGTACCAGTCACTAAGTTAAAAACCGGTCAACCGTCACTCTGCCGCTCCAGTCCCGCCCCCCTTGCCCGATCTCAAAATGGCCGCCTACACTTCCACAACCGACTTCTGCCTTTCGCGAGGCACGCCAGCTTCACCCGCCTGTCTCCGTGGCAACGCGCTTCCAGACTAGCGCTTACGGCTTAAGGGACAGAGGGAGGGAGAAGCTCAACACTCGCGCGGGCCCAGGACTGCTGAGGGAACTGCGGACGAAGTTTGTGTTAGGAAGGCCTTCAGGGAGTTCCTATTGGTGGTTCTGGCCTGTTTATCCTTCTACCCAATCAGATTTTGCTATCACGTGTGGGAAATTAATCTGACTGCGGCTTAACACCCTCATCTGCAGAACAAAGACAAAGGCAGTGATCTCATAGCGTTGTCTTGAGAAGTCGACAAGATAACACGTGAAGAGTACCTGGCACAAATAAATACTCAATAAGTTAACAGTTTTCATTGGTACTCTGACGCCCAACAGTTAAGGACTCAGACCGTCTTTACTTTATTTTGCCGCTGAGATAATGGTTACCCCACCAGTGACTGAACCCGGGCCCCCTGCAGTGGAAGCCTGGAGTCCTTGCCACTGAACCGCCAGAGAATTCCCCAGACCATGACTTTTTGATGGACTGCAAAGCTGACTTTAAACTCCAGTAGTTTTCACACTTCAGAGTGTATTAGACTCAATCAGAAGGGCTTGTTAAAACACGTTGTTAGGCTCCACCCCCAGGGGCTTAGATTCCCTTAAGTCTTTAGATGGGGCTGATGATTATATTCCAGGTGATGCTGATACTAATGGTCTGGGGACAACACCCTGGGAACCTTCCATACCTCCCCAGAACCCCAGGGAAACATCCAAACTAAATTGTTTTCCAGAGCTCTGCATAAGCTGATGCCTGTTGTCCCTCCTATCCTGTTGCTCTCTCTGTGGTCCAAAGCAGAGTCTTGAATATCCTTGACCCAGTATGCTGGCTCTCCTCCAGACTGTGCACACACTATAAACCCCTTCTGGAATACTGTTCCCTACTTTGTCACCACCTGACCGCTTTCCTGCCTTCATGTCTTGTCCGTGATACAGAAGCAGCCCTCATCCCTCCCCTCACCACACTAGGCTATGGCTGCCGAGGAATGGGTCTCTGTTTCCCACTGCATCGCAGGCTCTGTGAGGGCAGGGCCTGGGGCTTTGTCTATCACTGTTGTTTCCAATTATGTGCAACACAGTGCAGAATTAGTGTTCCCTGTAAATAAAGAGCTGATGAAAGTCTGTGCCTCCCCCCACCCCCTAGCCCATCCCCACAGACCAGGAAGGGTGACTTCATCTGAGGGAAGAAACCCAGCAGCTGTGTACCTGAGCCCTTCTAGACTCACAGAAGCAGAGAGACTGGGGTGTCCTCATGGTACCCATGACTTTGGAATATAACCGCACCAGGAGAAAGTCCCCCTGTTACTTACATGCCCAAGGTACACCCTACAGCCTCATTTATGATAGCAAAAGACTAGCAGCCACCCACATGCCCATTAATGAAACATGGAAATAACTTGGACTTCCCCAGTGGCTCAGTGGTAAAGAATTCGCCTGCCAGTGTGGGAGCCGCAGGAGATGCAGGAGACATGGGTTCAATCCCTGGGTCAGGAAGAGTCCCTGGAGTAGGAAATGGCAACCCACTCCAGTATTCTGTGGGATGTGTGTCCTAAAGGAGGCACAGCAGACCTAAAAAAGGATATAAGGGACTTCCCTGATGGCGCAGTGGATAAGAATCCACCTGCAATGCAGGGGACACGGGTTTGATCCCTGGTCTGGGAAGATTCCACATGCTGAGGAGCAACGAAGCCCATGCAACACAACTTCTGAGCTGATGTGCTGCAACTACTGAAGCCTACAAGCTGTAGGGCCTGTGAGCCACAACTAATGAGCCCCTGTCCCACAACTACTGAAGCCTGTGCTCTGCGATGAGAAGCCCGTGTACGGCAACAAAGGGTAGCCCTTGCTCACTGCAACTAGAGAAAGCCCACACACAGCAATGAAGACCTAGTGCAACCCCAAATAAAAATAAACTAAAAAGGATGTGAGACTTACTCGTGTGCCTCTGAAATGATCTCTGAATGACACTGGGTTGGTAAAAAAAAAAAAAAAAGCAAGGTATAGAAAGAATATTAGAAAAGCATATAAAAATTATATGTGTATATGAGACATATAATATGAAAAAGGTGCAGAAATGAGGCGATATTTTATTGAGCACCAGACACTGTTCTAAGATCTTTACAGATATTGCTTAATTCTCCAACAAGTCCATGAGGTAGGTGCTGTTACACCATTTCACAGATTGGCAAACAGCACAGGAAGGTGAAATGAGTGGCCCAAAACCACAGACTTGGGAATGATGACAGAGTTCAGATTTATACCCAGGGACTTTGCCTTCAGAGTCCGTGATTGTAATTAGCTCACCATATAGTACCACTTTTGCAGAGTGAAAGAAAAAAAATTAATGACACACATATACACACAGGTATATTGCTGGTATATGCCTAGGAGACCTGAGAAAATCTGTCATCACAGCCCACATACAGGAGAAAGACTTATTTCTATTGAATATTCTTCTACTTTTTCCATTTTTAAGTGTGCACTTTTTTTTTTTTAAGTATCTGAAATGAGCAGGGCCTGGTTTCTTTTGGAGGAAGGAATTTGAAAGAAGTGGTGGGGAGCAGAAGCCAGATCACACAGGCACCTTCTTCCCTCGAGCAACTGCCCCTCACCAAGCTGCTGACTTTAGCAGCAGGGTCAACAACTGTGCTGAGGAGCCAGGAAGGGTGGGAGACTAAGAAAGAACTAGACAGTGGATATTTCTGAGTCTCCATGTGACAAGGTGACCAAAAAACCAAAAATCCTCATGTAAATCCCAGTCTTGCACTTTCTGTGTGATCTTGGATAAGTTATTTAACCTCTCTGGGCCTCCTGTCCTCATCTGCAATATGGAGAATGTAACTAACTCACAGAGTTGCTGAGAGCATAAGATAAATTCTGGTGTATCAAGAGCTTGGAAGAGTGCCTGGCAGGTAGTAAATCCTATATAAGTGTTCTCTCTCGTGTTATTAAAATGATTTTGTGTGACTCCTTAGCATCATTTGACAATGTTGACTTTTCCCTTTTTAAAAATCTCTCATCTCTCACCAATATTTCCCACTCTCCTGGTTTTCCTACTCCTCTCTCGAACTTCCTTTCTGTCTCTTTTGTAAGTTCTTCTCTTTGGTTGAGGGGTCATTGCTCATCATATGGGACTGTGTTAATAGGAAAAAGAAGTACCCCCTGACAAAAAAGAAAAAGAAGTCCCCTTTGGGTATACTCAGCCTTGAACTTCAGCCCCAATTTGTTACCAGCCTGCCGGCCAGGTAACCCTTATGCAGGTCCCAACCTGCATAATTAGACATCATCATCCTGGCTGACTAGTTTATTGACAGCTCCCATTCTCCCAACTTTCTGCCTTTCTAATAGAAGCCCAGTTTTGTTCAAGTATTTACCAGCCTGCAAACTAAAACCTCAGCCCCAGCCTCAGTCCCTAGTGGCAGGGGGAATCCTGAGGAATTCAAGCTAATCATAGTGATGCCATGATCACTCTGGCCAATGACTGATTCAGGAGCCAATTTTGGTCAATGATATGGAATAAGAAGTCTGCTGGGAGACACTGGGAAAAGGTTTCCTTCTTTTCAAAGAGGCACCATGGGAAGACACACCCCTTTCCCTCTTCTTGCACTAAAAATTAACATGTCTTATTGTGATGCCTGGACCTATGGCAGCCACTTTGTGGCCACGAGGACAGCCCATGTGGGAGCCAAACCTTCAGCTGAGGGTAACAGAGCAGGGAGAGAGGGAACCAGGGGCCACAAGACCCTCTTGGAGTTGTGAACTGTATCAAACCCAGAGGTCTCTCTAACTCGGGTGATATACAGTATACAATCATCTCACTGTTTCAGTCAGTGGCAGTCAGGATTGTGTTACTTGCAACCCAAATCTTTCCTTACTGATATTATATATATATATATATATATATATATACACACACACACACACACACACACATACATATGTATATACATATATATGTGTGTGTGTATGTGTGTGTATATACACACACCCTATGGCTGATTTCTCAAGGCCGGTCTTCTCTCTTTATTCCCACCCAGGGCTGTCAATACCCACCTTCATAGTGTTCGTTTCCTCACCTGTCTGCAGCCTCAACCACCCCCTAAGTCGTCGCTCCAAGGGCCCTGTGACTTCCTGCTGCCTTCTCCTGGGTGTCCCTTTAGCCCTTCACAGCCACCATATTCCAAACAAGCCTCAACATCTCCCTACAAATTTGTTTTCTCACAGGTCCCCCACCTCGGGGGCAGCTGAGCATGGTTAGACCTTTTTCTGGCCTTGTCCCTCCCAAGTCTGTAAGGCTTATGGCCCGTCCACCTGGCCTTCTGAGCATCCCTTGACTTGCCCCCTCCTCCCCTTCCCTCGGCCTCACCCAGTCCCATTGTCTCCTCCTTCATTCCTGCCCCAGCCTCCCCTGGGCACCCAGCCTCAGTCTCCCCCCCATATAAGTACCGCTCGCTAACCGATTGCACCACTGGAGCTTCCTCCCCTCCACCCCATAAACACACAGCAGCAAAAGCCCAAACCTAACCATGGCCCTCTCCTGCTCAAATCCCTTCCATGGCTCTCTAGTGCCCTCAAGAAAGAAGCCAAGTTCCCAAGATGGTCATTTAAGGACACTTACAATATGCCCACATCCAATGATAATACTGCATTATCTTCCTCATGTGTAAAGTACCCAGAACAGGGCCTAGCCAAAGAATCATCCCAGAATAACATGGCAGGTGCTGTGAAACCATCTTTTGAACTATTATTATTGCCATTTTACTGATGAGGAAACCGAGGAAATAGGGGCAAAATGACCACCCAAAGACACAGGCAGGACACTGCTGAGTTGGGATTTGAGCCCAGGCAGGCTGGCTCCGGCTGGAGAAGGGCATGGCAACCCACTCCAATATCCTTGCCTGGAGAGTCCCACAGACAGAAGAACCTGGCAGGCTATAGTCCATGGGTCGCAAAGAGTCAGACACGACTGAGCGACTAACACACACACAGGCTGGTTCCAGAGCCCAGGGAATGTAATGTAATTAGTTCTTGGTAAACAGGAACAGTTGTTATGATAGTGTCTCACCAAAAGCAATACCTTCCATACTGGGCTAGGATCCCGTCTCAGCTTCCTGGAAGACTCTATTATGCAGGCCGACCCCAGGCATATCCAAATATGTCTAGCTCCCTGGACACACTGGAGGAAAATGAGTCAGGTACACCTTCTTCCCCAGACTGACTACTCTTCAGATTTCAGGTCTGAGTGCAGTTGCCCCTTCCTCCAGGAAGCCCTCCCTGACCTTCCCTGGCTGGATTGGGTACATTCCCTGTGCTTCCTCTACCCCAGCCCTGACCACTCTGCCCACCTTTCCCCGCCCCCACTAATGAAGTCCTGCCTATTATGAACTGTCACTGTACGGGAGACAGGACAGCGAGCCCCATGAGAGCAGGGCCCAGAGCATCTGGAACACTGTGGTGGCCCCAGAGCTGCCCAGCACGGATTGGCACAGAGGAGGGAGTTTTGAATGAGGGAATATATTCTTTCTACTTGACCCAAGAGGTGAATCAAGGCTCAGAGGGGGCCAGTCACTGGCCCGAGGTGAAGTGATCATATAGCACCTGAAATGAGGTCTGAGCTCAGAGCCTGGGAGAATCGGCAGGTGATGAGTGGCTACTCAAGTGAGAGAGGCAGATGGCGCGAGGAAAAGCCTGAGAAATACAGAGACGGTGAGAAAGTCAGGGAAGCACAGAGTGTGCGGGGAGGTGATCGGAGGGGTGGGGGAAAGAAGGCAGTGCTGCTTCCTGGATCTGGGCGGTGCTCAGGCCGGTCAGACAAGGGCAGACACTGGAGGCAGGGCCTCAGGAACACTAGCGTGTGCTTGTAGATGGGCGAGTCCATCGGTTCCAGTCCTGAGGGCCCCTCAGCCGCAGGCCTGGTCTGCAGCTGCCCTGACACTTGCCCCAGCTACCTGGGGATGGAGGCATAGTCCACGTGAGAGCCGGCAGTGAGCTGCTGGTGTGGCTCGGGCTCGGAGCTCAGGATGTCCGCCCGATCATCCTCCTCCTCGAAGCTGGCGGGGCACGGAGTGGGCAGCAGGATGAGCTCTGTGAGGCCGTGGAGGTCAGACACACGGCGGAAAGTCTGTACCAAGAGCACCATGGCGACCAGGCCCAGGAAGAGGTAGACTGCAGAGATGGCAGAGAGGTGATGAGTGGACCCAGACTGCCCAGGTCATGGCCGTGGGTCTACGGGATCCCCCAGGATGGGGCTGCAACTCTCAGTGCCCCATCCCTCCGGGACAGGGCCAGGCCCCCCTCACACCAGCCCTCAGTCCCCAGGCAGCCACCCCACTCACCTGTGACTAACAACTTGTAGACGGCCCGGTAGGGCTGGCCGGGGGCCTCTCCCGGCACGTAATCTCCCAGGCCGATGGTGGACAGAGAGATGAAGCAGAAGTAGAAGGCGTCCAGGAAGCTCCAGGCCTCTTCAAGGTGGGCAAAGACGGCAGCTGGCACCAGGAAGCAGAGGGTCACCATGACCCCCAACAGGATGGCCAGGTGCCAGCGGGCTGCCTTCCGGGGGGCACAGCCCCAGTGCTGGCTCACCCAGGACAGGGGCGCGTGGGTGAGCAGCAGCGACAGGCGCTGGGCAGAGGCGGTCAGTAGCAGCATGGTGGCTGGGACACCCAGGAGCGCAAAGGCGATGGAGAAGGCCTTGCCCCCGTCGGTCAGAGGCGTCGTGTACCCGTAGCCTGTGGGAGTCAGGGGGAAATCCTTCGGCCCACTCAGCATCCACTCTGGGGTCTGTGATTGCCCTAAACTGAGGACTAATTTCAGCCTCAAAGCCACCCCTCCCAGACTGTCTTATCTCTGGTGATGGCACCTCCACCCTCCCCACGGCTCAGGCTGAGAGCCTGGTGTCATCTCTGGCTCCCTTCTCACTCACATCCACTCTGTTGTCTCAACCTTTGCACAGAGCCCAAACCCACCCACTTTCCCCCTCACTCCACAACAAGGCTTTATCCTGGTCCTGTCTACCAGCAGCCTCCTCCCTGGTCTCCCTTCTCCCCGCCATGCAGCCAGAGGGGCCCTGTGAACACGGGAGTCAGGTCATGTCCCTCCCCTGCTCAGGGCCCTCCTGTGGCTCCATCCCAGGTCAAAGCACTTTGTCTGGTGACCCACGGGACACCACACAATCCAACAGGGCAGCACGTGCCCTGCAGGGGATGCAGGTTCTATCAGGGGTCCGAGAAGATCCCACATGCTACAAGGCAACTAAGCTTGTGTACACCTACTGGAGCCCACATGCCCCAGAGCCCATGTTCCACAATGAGAAGCCCACACATCGCAACTAGAGAGTAGCCCCCACTCTCCTCAACTAAAGGAAACCCACGTGCAGCAATGAAGACCCAGGGCTGCCAGAAATAAATAAATTTTTAAATGGGTGTGACAAGCCCCACCGTGCTCTTGGAGGGTCAGTGTGGGTGTGAGTTCTGCAAGCAGAAATATGACTAAGGGGAATTCAGGTGTTGGTGAAACTGGCTCACTTTGGCAATGTGTACTTTCCCAAATGAATCAAACCAAAGGGTCAGAGATATGACTGGGGTGGTAAGGGGCCTGATGTATGTTGACAGTAAAATGTCTTGCCCAAAATACTACAGTCCAGCCTTGTGGTTCATAAGAAAGTGTGAAAGCATTGCCCATATGAGCAGGCTTTCCCCTGAGCCCATCTTCCATACAAAAGGATCCCCTGGCTCTGACTTTTTTAAAAAACAACAACAAAAAAGTATTTATTTATTTGACTGAGCCAGGTCTTCTTAGCTGAAGCATGGGGGATCTAATTCCCGGACCAGGAATCAAACCCGGGCCCCCTGCATTGAGAGCGTGGAGTCTTAGCCACTGGACCACAGGGAAGTCTCACCCTGGCTTTTATATAGTCAAAGGAATTGAAAGCAGGGGCTCAAGAGATACCTGCGCAGCCATGTTCATAGCAGCATTCTTCACAATAGTCAGAAGGTGGAAACAGCCCTTGTGTCCACCGATGGGTGAATGAATCAACAAAATGTAAGTACAAACAATGCAATATTATTCAGTCCTTTGAAGGAAGGAAATTCTGACACATGCTACAACATGGGTGAATCTTGAGGATATTATGCTAAGTGAAATAAGCCAGTTGTCAAAAGACAAAGCCTCTGCAATTCCATTTATATATGGCACTTAGTGCAGTCAAAATCATCGAGACAGGGGACTTCCCTGGTGATCCACTGTCTAAAACTCAGCACGCTCCCAATCCAGGGGGCCTGGATTTGATCCCCGGTTAGGGAATTAGATCCCACATGTCACAACTAAAGATTCTGCAGGCGGCAATGAAGACTGAAGATCACGTGTGCTACAGTTAAGATCTGGTTACAGCCAAATAAGTGGATTAATTTTTAAAAACAATAAACATTAAAAAAATCACAGACACAGAAAGTAGAACAATGGTTGCCAGGAGTCGAGGAGAGGGGTAAGTGGGGAGTTAGTGTATACAAGGGTATAGATTCAGTTTTGCAAGATTCAAAGAGTTCTGGTGACTTCCCTGGGGGTCCAGTGGTTAAGAATCCACCTTCCAATGCAGGGGATGTGGGTTCGACCCCTGGTGCCGCTGAGGAACTAAGATCCCACATGCCTCGGGGCAATTAAGTCTGTGTACCACAACTAAAGAGAAGCCCCGACACCGCAACAAAGACCTAATGCAGCCTAAATACATAAATAAATATTAAAAAAATAAAAGTAAAAAGAGTTCTGAAAATGGGTGCTGGCAATGGTTGCACAGCAACATGAGTATACCTAATACCACTGAACTGTACACTTAAAAATGGTTAAGATAGTAAATCTGATGTGTATATCGCCCCAGTTTTAAAAAAAAACTAGGGAAAAATAAAGGATCTTCTAGATCTTGCTGGACACGTGGCTAACGGGAAAAGACAATCCCTCTTTCAGTGCAGCTAGGTGTGGTCTGGAATAATTTATGGCCAAGGAGATACAGACAAAAGAAGCAAGCAACTTCAGGAAGTGTCCTTAAAGATAGGGAGATGCCTATCTCCCTTCTTTACTCCCTCCTCCTGCTGACTAGATCACAGATAGGAAGGCTGGAGCTGAGCAGTCATCTGGGACCATGAGATGAGCTTGGGAATAGAAATCGCGCCTGGCCTGAGAGTTATATTGGAACCTGAGGGTCTCTGACCATGCAGCACCATTCGGTCTTGGACTGACTCCCTTGAATATGAGCAAGAAATAAATTCCCATTATATGTAAGCAACTATTATTTGAGGTTTATCACTTATGGCTCCAAGCTTCATTAATACAAGGATTTTGATGGAGAAACTCCAGTAACCTGGCTGAAAGGACAGGTTTGCAAATGACATGTAATTCTTATAAACAGAAAAAATCAGAGTTAGAATAGAGTGGAGAGGGGGCCTTCGCTGGTGGTCCAGGGGCTAAGACTCTGGACTCCAAATGCAGAGGGCTGGGGTTCGATGCTTCGTCGGGGAAGTAGATTCCACATGTCACAACTAGGAGTTCTCATGCTGCAGAGAAGATCGAAGATCCCTTGTGCCCCAGCTTTGACCCAGGGCAGCCAAAAATTTAAACAAATACTTTTGAAAAACTAGTGAATATTTTAAAAAGAAAGAAAGAAGAACAGAATGTGGGCTATGAGCCTCAACTTGCTACTTCCAAGAGTTGAGTCCAAAGCAGTGCTTTGTTATTTGGTCCCTGAGTGATGCTGGCCAAGTGACTTCTCTCTGAGCCTCAGTTTCCTCAGAGCACTTGAAAATGGCCTCATAAATCTCTTGCATTCCTATACACTAACAATGAGAAAACAGAAAGAGAAATTAAGGAAACAATACCATTCACCATTGCAACAAAAAGAATAAAATACTTAGGAGTATATCTACCTCAAGAAACAAAAGACCTATACATAGAAAACTATAAAACACTGATGAAAGAAATCAAAGAGGACACAAACAGATGGAGAAATATACCGTGTTCATGGATTGGAAGAATCAATATTGTCAAAATGGCTATACTACCCAAAGCAATCTATAGATTCAATGCAATCCCTATCAAACTACCAATGGTATTTTTCACAGAACTAGAACGAATAATTTCACAATTTGTATGGAAATACAAAAAACCTTGAATAGCCAAAGTAATCCTGAGAAAGAAGAATGGAACTGGAGGAATCAATCTGCCTGACTTCAGACTATACTACAAAGCCACAGTCATCAAGACAGTATGGTACTGGCACAAAGACAGAAATATAGATCAATGGAACAGAATAGAAAGCCCAGAGATAAATCCACGAACCTATGGTCACCTTATCTTCGACAAAGGAGGCAAGGATATACAATGGAAAAAAGACAACCTCTTTAACAAGTGGTGCTGGGAAAACTGGTCAACCACCTGTAAAAGAATAAAACTAGAACACTTTCTAACACCATACACAAAAATAAACTCAAAATGGATTAAAGATCTAAATGTAAGACCAGAAACTATAAAACTCCTAGAGGAGAACATAGGCAAAACACTCTCTAACATAAATCACAGCAGGATCCTCTATGACCCACATCCCAGAATTTTAGAAATAAAAGCAAAAATAAACAAATGGGACCTAATGAAACTTAAAAGCTTTTGCACAACAAAGGAAACTATAAGCAAGGTGAAAAGACAGCCCTCAGATTGGGAGAAAATAATAGCAAACGAAGCAACAGACAAAGGATTAATCTCAAAAATATACAAGCAACTCCTCCAGCTCAACTCCAGAAAAATAAATGACCCAATCAAAAAATGGGCCAAAGAACTGAACAGACATTTCTCCAAGGAAGACATACAGATGGCTAACAAACACATGAAAAGATGCTCAACATCACTCATTATCAGAGAAATGCAAATCAAAACCACAATGAGGTACCATTACACACCAGTCAGGATGGCTGCTATCCAAAAGTCTACAAGCAATAAATGCTGGAGAGGGTGTGGAGAAAAGGGAACCCTCTTACACTGTTGGTGGGAATGCAAATTAGTACAGCCACTATGGAAAACAGTGTGGAGATTTCTTAAAAAGCTGGAAATAGAGCTGCCATATGACCCAGCAATCCCACTTCTGGGCATACACACCGAGGAAACCAGATCTGAAAGAGACACGTGTACCCCAATGTTCATCGCAGCACTGTTTATAATAGCCAGGACATGGAAGCAACCTAGATGCCCATCAGCAGATGAATGGATGAGGAAGCTGTGGTACATATACACCATGGAATATTACTCAGCCATTAAAAAGAATTCATTTGAATCAGTTCTAATGAGATGGATGAAACTGGAGCCCATTATACAGAGCGAAGTAAGCCAGAAAGATAAAGACCATTACAGTATACTAACACATATATATGGAATTTAGAAAGATGGTAATGATAACCTTATATGCAAAACAGAAAAAGAGACTCCAATGTATAGAACAGACTTGTGGACTCTGGGAGAAGGCGAGGGTGGGATGTTTCAAGAGAACAGCATCGAAACACGTATATTATCTAGGGTGAAACAGATCACCAGCCCAGGTTGGGTGCATGAGACAAGTGCTCGGGCCTGGTGCACTGGGAAGACCCAGAGGGATCGGGTGGAGAGGGAGGTGGGAGGGGGGATCAGGATGGGGAACACATGTAAATCCATGGCTAATTCATCTCAATGTATGACAAAAACCACTGCAATGATGTAAAGTAATTAGCCTCCAACTAATAAAAATAAATGAAAAAAATAAAAAATAAAATAAAACAGACACAGCAAAAAAAAAAAAATTACTACCTATAATAAAGATTTTAACCAGAAAAAAAAAAAGAAAATGGCCTCATAAATGATCCCTTCCTTGAGTACAGGTTGGGACAGGGCACCTAGAACAGGCATGAAAAGAGTCAGAAAGATTGTGATGCTCGCTCCCTCTCCGCATTCCCAGTTCCAAGCAGGCTGACTCCTCCAGCCCAGACCTCAATCGCAGCAAGGCTGCCTGGACTAGCTCCAGGCCTCAGATCTTCCTCAGAAGACTAGAGCCTGCGACAAGCCCAGGAACGCTGTGGGAGAGGCCCCTCTGTTGTCGGGTTTTCCATTTCCCTAGATATATTCAGGGCTCCCGGCTTCATCAACAGCACTAGTGATAAATGAGGCTCTGTCAATCTCGGTTATTATCACTGGCATGTCTCATGGACACAGCCTTCCTGCTTGACCAAGCTTGAGTCAGGCCCCTCTGAGTTCTCTTAATGACCAAGCCTGGTTTTAGCAGGAATCCCAAGTTAAGAATCTGCCTGCAATTCGGGAGATGTAGGTTCAGTTCCTGGGTCAGGAAAACCCCTGGAGAAGGGAATGGCTACCCACTGCAGTATTTGTGCCTGGAGAATTCCATGGACAGAGGAGCCTGACGGACTACAGTCCATGGGATTCCCAAGAGTTAGATGCAATAATGCCACTAACACTAAGTTTATTTAGGGAGAATCCCCCACACTTGACATCTGATCAAATTTCTTATTATCCACCACTTGTATTGAAGCTCTTGGCGGTCTTTAACAAGAATCCTATTAAGCCAGTTTAGCAAGAATCCCCCTACTGTCCATGTCTCCTCTTAGTACTTTTCCATCCACTGCTGCTGCTGCTGCTGCTGCTAAGTCACTTCAGTCGTGTCTGACTCTGTGTGACCCCATCCCTGGGATTCTCCAGGCAAGAACACTGGAATGGGTTGCCATTTCCTTCTCCGATGCATAAAAGTGAAAAGTGAAAGTGAAGTTGCTCAGTCATGTTCAACTCTTCTCGACCCCATGGACTGCAGCCTACCAGGCTCCTCCATCCATGGAATTTTCCAGGCAAGAGTACTGGAGTGGGGTGCCTTTGCCTTCTCCATTTCCATCCACTAGTCCCCTCCTGCTCTCAGCTCTAAATCTCCAGCTGTCTTTGCTATACTCTGAATTGAGGTCAATCTCTCTCCCCTATTGCAATAACTTACCATTTTTAAGGACTGTCAGAAATTTTTTTACAATATACATGTATCACCCTTCATCATTCATGGAAGCTGAAGAAGTAGTATGGTGCACTGGTTAAGAGCATGGGGCTCTGGGGAATTCCTTAGGGGTCCACTGATTAAGACTCCATCTTCCAATGCAGGGGACTTGGGTTCAATCCCTGGTTGGGGAACTAAGATCCCACATGCCACAGGGCAACAAACCTCATGTGCCACAACTACTGAGCCTGTGTGCTCTAGAGCCTGTGCTTCACAACTAATGAAGCTCTAGTGCCACAAGAGAAGCCTGCATGCTGCAACTAGAGAAAGACCACGTGCCACAACAAAGACCTGGTGCGTCCAAAGTTTAAAAAAAAAACTTTTTTTTTAATTAAAAAAAAGAGCATGGAACTCTGAGGCCTGACAGCCTCGGTTCAAATCTGCACTCTACACTTCCTAGCTGTGTGGCCTTGGACAAGTTGCTCAACCTCTCTGGGCCTCAGATTCTATTGCTAAGAAATAGGACCACAAACAGCACCTGGCTCACAAGGCTTATTGTGATGAGTGAGTTAAAATCTGTATGTGGTGTGGTTAAGTCTTGTACCAGGTCTTACTATTACTGTGAAGTAGGGAGTGTGATTATCCCCATTTTACAGATGATGGAGGACACAGAGGACTAGAGATCAGTAGTGTGTGAACAGGAATCTGAACCTGTGTCTGCCTTGAGTTTGGCTTTTTCACCTGTCCTGCCTGGGATGACTTCTCAGAAGGCAGGATCTGGGAGGAGACAGAGGGAAAGAGAAGCCCCGAAGCAGGTTGGGCAGGCCCAGCCAGCAAGTGGGCAGCGTTTGTGAGATCCAGCCCGGCTGCCGTGGCCTGGTCCACTTGACAGTGGACAAAGGCTGTCACAGTGACAAACGGCAGAGGCTATTGTCAGCAGGGATAGGGAGTTAGGAGTCTGGGCTAGCCGAGCCCCAGACCACTCCCCTAGTCCAAATCCTAGCATGCTCATTTGCTAAGCCATGTCCAACTCTTTGCGACCCCATGGACAGTTGTTGTCCACCAGGCACCTCTGTCCATGGAATTTTCTAGGCAAGAATACTGGAGTGGGTTGCTATTTCCTTCTCCAGGGAAATCTTCCCAACCCTGGGATCGAACCTGCATCTCCTCAGTCTCCTGGATTGGTAAGCAGCTGCTTTACCACTTGAGTCTCCTGGGAAGCCAAATCCTAGCAAAGAGGGAAAGAGGAAGTTTGGGGGCTGGGGAGGGGTTGTGGGAGGACCAGAAGAGCCTGACAAACAAAGGGATTTTCCAGGTCTGAGGGGAGTTGAAGTGAGGGGTTTCCCAGGTAGGGCTGAGGGGTGGGGTGTGTGTTGGTCCTACTTGAGGCTGTAGGGATCCAGAGAAGGGGATCTGTGGGGTCCAGTTAGTAATCTGAAATCAGAGGCCAGTGTCTTGGTTTGAAACAGATCCTGGTTTGGGGCTGGGGTCCTGGGTCCAGAGGAAGAAGGGGGATAGGCACCAGTGGGATTACAAATGGGATTAGGAGGGGGGGGTTCTCAGGTAGAGGGGGCTTCTGAGCCCAAGGATGCCTGAGGCAACATGATGGGGGGAGACAATGCTAAGGGGACGATGGGAGGGAGTATGTGTCTCATGTCCTGGCTGAGAGTGTCCAGGGTGGAAAGTGGTAATGGTCTTCAGTGAATAGTGGGGAGGGTTCTGGGGTTCAAAGTGCCTGGAGCATCCTTGATGGAGGGAGAGTTCAAACCAGGCTGGGACAGAGTTGGGGCAAAAGGTCCCAGCTGTGGGTCTAGAGGAGACTGAAGGGGTCTCAGGTCCCAAGGAGGTTCCCTTTCTTGGGAAATCCAGGGTGGACAGGGGGAATCTAGGAGCAGGGGTAGCAGGTTCGGAGAGGAGAGTCCCTGGGCTGGTACCCTGGTTGGGGGGACGGGTGGATTCTTGTGTCAAGGATAGCCTGTGTGACCAGCGTTGGGATCCCAGGTATTCTGGGGCTCTTACAAGGAGTATCTGGGACCAGAGATTGGTGACAGTCTCAGCTAGGGTTGTCAAGTTCAAAGAGGCCCCTATAGAATTCCCTGGTTGTCCAGTGGTTAGGACTCTGAGCTTTCACTGCAGAGGGCACAGGTTAAATCCCACATGCCGGTTGGAGAGGTCAAAATAAATAGAGGACCCCATCAGAGTCCCTGGTCTGAAAAACAGTAGGGGTTTTTGCTGGAGCTGTTTTGGAACTGGAGGGGTGGGAGTCCTGGGTAGGGACCTTCCAGTTAGAAAGTCAGTGATTCTTCCTGGAAGGTGCTCAAGTTCTCTCCCATACTTCCACAGCTGAGGGCTGCAGAATTGGAAGTCCCAGGTTTAGAGGAAACGGGGGTGTCCCTATTGGAGGGCTCCCCCAATACAAAAGAGATGCCAAGAAGGAGTGGGATATGTGAAGAGGGGTCCTGTGTCTAGAGTCAGGGCTACCTTCAGGGAAGTATGACAATGGTCAGGAGGAAGGCAGGGGCCCTTGCTGGGGAGTGGTCTAGGTCCATAGGGGTGGAAGTCTGAGATGCGGCCCCGGGTCTTTGCTGAGGGATCTCTGCTGGCAGTAAGGTCTTTAGTGATGGTGCCTGGAGAGGGTCTGGAGATTCAGGGTCCTCACTAGGGCACCAGGGTCGGGAGGACATTGGGGTAAGGCTTCCGGAAGGACACATCCCAGAAGGATGTATCTGCAGTCAGGAGACGGTGTTGGAGGGGATGGAGGTCTGAGCCAGAGAGAAGGGCGGAGGTCCCGGCTGGCTGACGGGGGAGGGTCTCAGGCAGCGGGCACTGAGTTAGTTCCCAAAGGAGGTCTCTGAGGATTGTTCTCGGCCTAGACGGGGCTAGACGCAGGTCTCCAAGGCAGAGGGAGGGAGCCCTAGATGCTTGCCAGAAGGTACTCTGAGAATGGCCCTGGACCCCAAGCGAACTGCGGGACTTCCTCCTGGGAGGAAAGGTCTGGATAGGGACTCCTCAAGGTGGAGGATCCCACAAGTGTGGGTCCCAGGTTCTCATCGAGGGGTTTTGAGGGGATCCTGGGCTCAGAGTTAGTTGAGAATGATCTGCTGGGATCGGGATATTTCGTAGTGGCTCTGGGCTCCCTAGGGAGGCGAGGGGGAGCAGGGGCTCGGGGCGGCGCTCACGTACCCACGGTGGTGACCAGCGTGCTGGCGAAGAAGAGAGCCGAGGCGAAGTCCCAGGCGGGGTCCGAGGCGTTGGCAGACCCGGAGGCATTAGCGAGCGCGGCGCGCCCCAGCCGTCCGGCCGCCAGCACCCGCTCCACGAAGGCGTCCAGGGCGGGGGCGGCCACACACGGGCTGCGCCGCAGCAGCTGCTGGCGCAGCATCCGCAGCTCGGCTCGGAGGCGGGCTTCGTGCGGCCCCTCCAGCCGGGCCACCAGCAGCGCGCCCAGCACCAGGTACACGATGTATGCTGCCAGGGCGCCCGCCAGGAGCGCGCCCCGCCGCATGGCTCAGCCGGCCAGCCCGCCGAGCCCCCCGCCGCCCCGTTGACGTGGCCCCTGCCTCCCGATCGTCCGGCGCCCAGCTTCAGTTCCGGGAGTGCTCGACGGGCGGCCACCAGTGACCCAAAGAGGAAGAAGAGAAAAAGGGGAGGGGCAGGGGTGGAGGAAACTGAGGCACGCCCCACCGCCAGGTGTGGGCACCGAGGGGGAGGAGCCCAGCGCTCACGGACCTAGGAGACCGGCGGGGTGCTTCCTCCCCCGAGCGGGCGGCTCCCTATGCCAGAGAATCCGAACTCTTTTACGCCCGCGGACCGAGGAGTCGCTGCCCGACTGCGCCGCACCCGCGCGCTTGGCTGAGGGGCCAGAGGAACAAACTGAAATCCAGCCCTCAATCCATTCGTCAAGTCGTGCGTTCTGAGGCGGGAATGCATCCACCTGGAGGGGACGCCACAAAGGGGGACTCCACAGGGCCAGGTGTCACCTGTGCCCTCACAGACTGGGGATCCTTAGCTATTCACTAAATCTTTGCTCAGCGCCCACTTTGTGCCCGGCCCTTTGCTGGCTGATGCCAGGGAAACAGCAGCGACCAAGGCTGTCCTGGGTCGTACTCTCAGGGGGCTCCCAGCACTTCAACGGAGTGACAGACCAGAGGGTCAGGGGCTGTGATGAGGAAAGCAAAGTGACAGGGGCTGGGAGGGCGATGCCTACAGGACTGTGGAGCCAGGACTCATAACTGAGAGACCAGAACAGTTCCAGTTCCCCAGAAAAGACGATGTCTCACAGGAGGAAAGGGAAAGCCACAGTGACAGGGTCACTTGCTGACATCCTTCCGGAATACTATCACTCCTCAGAAGTCATTTCTACCATTATCTTTGACTGAGATAACTGGAGGAACTGAGGGACAGAAAAGGGGAGGCTGAGGGGGTGAAAGAGGAGGAGACAGAGTTAGATAGGGGGAGACAGAGGGCAGGCACAGGAGAGACTAAGGTAACTTAATTTTCAGGGCTTCTCACTAGCAGGTGTGCCTGTGTGCGCTCAGTTGCCGAGGGTCATAGTATTTTTGGCAAACCAGGGAAACCAGGTTTCAACACAGGAGCATTTTTATGAATTTTGGGAGAAACGTCTAAAGATATTGTTAAAGAGAAAACCAGAGACCCCAAATGTGTCACTTGTGCTAAAGCCCATGATACCAACACATCATTCAAAGTCGCTCAGTCATGTCCAACTCTTTGCAACCCCATGAACTATACAGTCGGTGGAATTCTTCAAGCCAGAATACTGGAGTGGGTAGCCTTTCCCTTCTCCAGGGGATCTTCCCAACCCAGGGATCGAACCCAGGTCTCCTGCATTGCAGGTGGATTCTTTACCAGCTGAGCCACAAAGGAAGCCCCATGATACCAAACCTAGATTTTAATATCTGACCTAGTTGCAATTTTGTCCTTCCGCAGGAAGGTAATCTTAATCTGCCCGTTTGGAATTTCCTGGTCAGCACCAGTGAGGTAATCTTATCATGTGGGACCTCTCCATTTCTACACTCCCCACTCCCACCCCCAACTCCCACCTACAAAAGTAAAAGTATTCTACAAGATAGATTCTTACCTTCCCCCTAAAAGAAGGTGACCTGGCCTGAAACAATTCTTTCTTTTCTTTTGTTAATAACTTCCTTGCCTCCTTTCACAGAAAAAGCCCCGTTTTGTACAACTCCTACAAACTCTCTCCTATTTACGAGATGTGACGCTGCCTAATTCATAAGTTGTTGAATAAAGCCCATTAGGTCTTCATATTTTCTCGGTTTAATTTTGTTTTTTAACAATAACACCTCAAAAAAAAAAGACACTTGGTTCTTCCCATCTAACTTGTTGGATGTCCTTTTCTCACTCTAAATAATCACTTTAATAAGGAAAGTCTGACAAAATCGTATAAGCCCTAGAGCCCACACAACTCCGCTTAGCCGCTGGGGAATACAAATGGGTCTCCTCCTGCTCCATACCCTTCTCTGGCTCCCCAGTGCTCTCACGAGCTAAATTGAGCTCTTTTTACAGAGAACTCCATTTCCCATCGGCCTCTTCGCTCGACACCTACATTTCCCAGCATGCACGACACCTCCTGCTCCACGGATTCTTCCCGGCTCCGCCCTCCTAGCCCTGAAGGCCTGACTCTTGCCTTACGTCACCAGTCTCCAAACTCTCCTCTTACCGCCAACTTCTCTAGGCCTCCGTGAGAGGGCGTGGTGGCCTTGCGCGATCGAGGCGCCCATTGGCTGCCGTGTTGCCGGTAGGGCGTGGCTACGGGAGCCGGGCGGGCACATTTCGAACCGTGGCTGGGGCGGCGGCTGCGGCGGCGGTGGCTGCGGCGGCGAAGGATGAACCCGGCAGGCTTGGCGGCGGCGGGGACGCCCCGGCAGCGTAAGTGGCGTACGTGGCAGACCGAAGAGATCGGGAGGGCGGGGCGTGGCGGGGCCGCTTCGGCGGTTGGCGAGGTCGCCACAGGTCAGAGGTCACGAGGTCAGGGAGCTACGAGGTGTGCACAGCGCAGGGATGCCAGGTCCGGGTAGGGGGCGCGTTGGGGTCGATTCTTTTCTTTAGGAAATTCCTTTAGAACAAGTTTGGGCAAGATATTGTGTGATGTGCAGAAAAACGCGTCTTCCATTCATTTGTAGTTAGCCCTCTGGCCGCTCTCCACCCTTCCGTGGCATTGCGCGGTTGCCCACGTAGCATAGGACGGCGTTTATGGCCCTATAGCCCTATGCGATCTCAGAGGACCGTGTTTACTCATTTAAGCTTTGAACCTGGATTTACTGTGCTGTTTTCCCGTGTCTGTGAATTTCTAAGTTCCTCTTCATCCCCAGGAGTGACCGTGCATCTTACTTATTCATTCAGCGTATCTTGCTTCAACTCCCTTGTGCCAGGCCCTGTGCTGGTGGAATATGAATACCCAGTGGTAACCTACAACTTGACAACTTACAAAAGAGAATTTAGTGGGAAGACAGACACTAAACTCGGAAGTAAACTAGTCAGCAAGATAATTTGGGAAGTAATTTGAACTATAAAGGGAGTAAATTGGAAATTGATTGGGGGGGGGGGCAGTTGAGGCCTCAAGACATGATGCCTGCATTCCTCCCTTCAACCTTTCTTAAGATACCTGGCTGGAAAAAAAAAAGAAACCTGGCTGGCCCTGCGGTAGGGGATCTTGGGGACACAGACGTGCCCATCAGTCCTGCTTCCTGTCTTCATGGAGCTACCAGTACAGAGCGGAAGACAGCAACAGTCTAGTGTGATGGAGCTATGTGCAGGCACAGGGCTCAGGGCTGGTGTGGGGGAAGCACAGTCAGAGAGCTTGTGACTGGGATGGAGGTATGTGTTAGCCAGATTAGGAAACTTGACCCGGCCCTGCCGTGTCAGTGAAGCTTCCTGGAAGAGATACAGCTGATGATGAGGAATGAGAAGGGGATTTGTGATAAGAGGGAAAAGCCTAGGAGGCTTGTGCTGAGTAAACAAGTAGACAAATGAAGATAGATTTAGAAATTGTGGTAACTCCTTAAAAGAGAAAAAAGAACCACTGGATATTATGAGAAAGAGCAAGGGCTAGGGCTTCATATGAAGGATAAGGAAGATCTCTTGAGAAGGAGTCTTTTGAGCTGAGGCCAGGTGCTCTATTGGCCAGTGTTAATTGTGGGAACGTGTTCCAGGGTGATAGCACTGTCTGTTCTAAAGCTTGAGGAGGCGAGGAGCTTGGCAGGGTCAGGGCCCGAGAGGTGGAGGCCCTTGTGGCCAGGTGGAATGAGTCCTAAGAGAGGTAACAAACCAGGGTGGTTGGCAGGGCTGGGTCATGCAGGGCCTCGTAGGCATTTGGGTTTTATCCTCAGTGCAGAGGGCAATGATCTTAGGCAGAGGGCATGAAATACTCTCTGCCCAAGGATGAACAGGGGTAGAAGGACATTTAATTCAGGCGCAAGATGACAGAATCTGAGAAAGGAGGGTAACATTGAGACATGGTGGGTGAGCACCAGTGTCAGAGGTAAAGGCCCAGGGGCAATCAGAGGGCAGTGGCAGGATATGGTGGCTAGAGACAGCCCAGGGCATCAGGTGGGTGGCTTTGAAAGCCAGGAGTGTGGTGAGATTGCCCTAGGTGAGAGGCAGAAGACAAGGGTAAGGGTGAAAAATTGGGTCACACAGTTCAGGGAGCTGGAGAGAAACCAGTGACTGAGGGACTGATCAGACCATCAGTTCCATAAAAGCATGAGCTGTCCCCTTTTGTTCACTGCTGTATCCACTTTGCCTGCCAGCAGGGTGTAACACACAAAAGGGCTCCGTCGATGTTTGTGGGACTCCGACAGGAGAGAGAAAAAGGTAGTACGATGTCTCAGAAGCCAGGAAAGCAGATACTGAGTCAGAGGTTGGCATTTGCGGCAAGGGCCTTAGTGCTGCCAAGGGCCTTGAGTCCGAGCAGAGAGGAATAACAACCCCGGCCTGTTGGTGCAGGGGCATTTAAGGGACCAGTGAGAGCAGAACCCCAACTGCCAAGGTCAGAGGTGGTGACAGAGAGGAAGGGCGGGCTTATACCAAAGCTTTCCGGAAACCAGCCCTTTGGCCAGAAGTGGGAGAGGGAAAGAGAAGTGGTGCTCAAGGACAAGTGGGCCAGTGCCGGTGCTATTGGCTTTGAGATCGAGGACTTCCCTGGGTCTGTTTTCAGGCTACACATAATGAAGAGGAAGAGTTGAGGGGCTAATAACTGATGACAGGTGATGAGATGGATCACTCTTCTATGGGCCAGGCCAGGGGCTGAGCAGTTTATGAGTGTCAGTTTGCCCAGAGAGTGGACACCTTTCCACTGAGAAGAAAATGGAGGTGTGGAGAAAGCCATGACGTGGATTATTTGACCCCTCTCCCCCATCCCGTTGTAATCTTACTGCCCTTTTCCGGCCATGGCGCTTGGCACAGAGGAGGCTCTCAGTAAATTTGCTATGGAGGCATTGCTTTGGGTCAGGGTGCTGGAGCCAGAGCGCTGGGTTCAGATCCGCCCTCTTCATATTCCCCATCTCTGTAGACAGCACCCCACCCACTCAGACCAGAATCTGGGAAGATAACATGGATTCCTCCCTCTTCCTTACCCTACCCCAGCCAAGCACACTTCCCGAAATCCTGCCCTACCTCCAGATTCATCCAGAAGCAGCACCCCCCAACCCCCCCAATGCCTACCTCAACCATCTCTCCTACCTGGACCATCTCCTCAGCCTTTTTCCTCTCCTCTCCCTGTCCCGCCTTCCCCAGCCTGTTCCCCATATGAAGCAGAGGGACCTTTTGAAAACTTAAGACCCAGTTCTGCTTCATGCTATCGGTATGATTTTGGGCAAGGACCTGAACCTCTTTGGTGGCATCCCATCTGTAAAGGAGAAGGCAATGGCACCCCACTCCAGTACTCTTGCCTGGAAAATCCCATGGACAGAGGGGCCTGGTAGCTATAGTCCATGGGGTCGCAAAGAGTCAGATATGACTGAGTGACTTCACTTTCACTTTTCACTTTCATGCATTGGAGAAGGAAATGGCAACCCACTCCAGTGTTCTTGCCTGGAGAATCCCAGGGACGGCAGAGGCTGGTGGGCTGCCGTCTATGGGGTCGCACAGAGTCAGACATGACTGAAGCGACTTAGCAGCAGCAGCATCTGTAAAATGGGATGATAGTATCACCAGCACAGAATGGGTTGTTGCGAGGATTAAATGAGTTCATCCACAGTGTTTAGAACATGGCCTGATGTGATTTCAGTGGTCAGTTGGGGCTTAACTATTATAATATTTTACAGGCCGACCTGGGATGGAATCCTGCTCTGTCTCTCCCTTTGCACAAGTCATTTAGTGTCTCTATTTATTTATCTATTTACTTACTTGGCTGCGTCAGGTCTTAGTTGCCGCACACGAGCTCTAGTTCCCCAACCAGGGATTGAACCCAGGCCCCCTGCATTGGGAACACAGAATCTCAGCCATCGGACCACCAGGGAAGTCCCCATTTAGCCTCTCTAAGCCTGAGTTTCCACATCTGTAAAATGGGAATGGCCATTTATTCATCAGGTTTTGTTTTGTTTTGTTTTGTTTTAATCAAGCATCTATTCCAAACCTTGTTCTAGAGGCTAGGGCTTCAGCCACAAACAAGACAGAGCTCTTTACCTTGGGGAGCTCACACTGGAGTGGGGGAGACAGTGAACAAGAGAAATTAAACAGCTAGTATGTCAGCTGGTGCTGAGTTCTATAGATATAAATTAAGTGCAGAAAGGGAATGGGGGGTGTTACCAAGGCAGATGCAGTTACAGACAGGATGGTTGGGGAAGGTCCCATGGAGCCAGGACTTCGAGGAGAAGAGGGAGTCCTGAGGGTGTCTGAATCAAGAGCATTTAGGCAGAGGAACTGCCAGTGAAGAGGCCCTGAGATGGAAGGTGCCTGGCGTGTTCAGTGAGCAACAAGGCCCCTGCGGTCGGAACTGAATGACTAAGAGGGAACAGGAAGAGAGACAGTCTGTCTAGAAACTTTGCTTGTAAAAGACTTGGTACAGGATTTTGTGCACAGTCAACCCCAGTACATAGTAGCCATCATTGTCATCATCATCATCATCATCATCGTTATTTGGAAGGATGGATGGATGGATGAATGGATGGATGGCAGAGGCCGCCCAGACCTGACTAGACAACTCTAAGTTCAGTTCAGTTCAGTTGCTCAGTCATGTCTGACTCTTTGCAACCCCATGGACTGCAGCACATCAAGCCTCCCTGTCCATCACCAGCTCCCGGAGCTTGCTCAAACTCATGTCCATCGAGTCGGTGATGCCATCCAACCATCTTATCCTCTGTCGTTCCCTTCTCCTCCTGCCTTCAATCCTTCCCAGTTTCAGGGTCTTTCCCAGTGAGTCAGTTCTTTGCATCAGGTGGCCAAAGTATTGGAGTTTCAGCTTCAGCATCAGTCCTTCCAGTGAATATTCAGAACTGATTTCCTTGTAGTCCAAGGGACTCTCAAGAGTCTTCTCCAACACCACAAAAGACAACCCATCTGACATCAAAACCAGCGCCCCACTGTAGCAGAGGCCAGAGGGAGAGCTCCTGACAAATGAATGAGGCTCCCATCCCTCTTCCCCTGCAGCCTCAAAGCGGAGGGTTCCTGTGTCCCAGCCAGGCATGGCTGACCCCCACCAGCTTTTTGATGACACGAGTTCAGCCCATAGCCGGGGCTATGGGGCCCAGCGGGTGCCCGGTGGCCTGGGCTACCCTGCAGCCTCCACTTCGCCCCAGGGAGCCTTCCTGGCTGATCCTGTATCCAACATGGCCATGGCCTATGGGAGCAGCCTCGCTGCGCAGGGCAAGGAGCTGGTGAATAAGAACGTGAGTGAGCTGGGCTGGTGGGAGTTGGGGTGGGGGGTGCAGGCAGGGGCCACGGGACCAGGGCTTCAGGTTTGAGCTCTGCCTCCCCAGATCGACCGCTTCATTCCCGTCACCAAGCTCAAGTATTACTTCGCTGTGGACACCATGTACGTGGGCAAAAAGCTGGGCCTGCTCGTCTTTCCCTACCTGCACCAGGTGAGCACTGGCACCCCAAGGCACGTGATGGGCAGGGGTGAAGGAGACTGAGGAGCAGGCCGGATAGATTGGCCCCAAGAGAGGGCTTGCAGGGGCGCAGGCACCCCGCTCCAGGTCCTGCCTGCTCCCCCCTTTCCCCACAGGACTGGGAGGTGCAGTACCAGCAGGACACGCCGGTGGCCCCCCGCTTTGACGTCAACGCTCCTGACCTCTACATTCCAGGTTTCATTCCACCCACCTCCACCCGGCGACCTCCTCCCTCCAGGCGGGCTTGTCTCGGGCAGACGTTTAGGTGCCCAGAGGCCCCGATGGTCCTTCTTCTGACCAGTGTCTGTGTGTCTGCCTCCCACAGCCATGGCTTTCATCACCTACGTCTTGGTGGCTGGCCTGGCGCTGGGGACCCAGGATAGGTAAGAGAGGCCTGGGGTCAGCTGAGTGGTGTGGGGTTTGCAGTGCTGGGGGGGGACAGTCAAGAAGGTCTCTTTAGTTCCCCTGGGTCAGAACAGTCCTACCGTGTAGCCAGTTGGCCCAAGACAGAGCCCTCGGTGTATCCTCAGGGTTGCCTTCACCTCTTTCTTCTTCCCCACTCACGTGCAGCCCATCACCCCACCCTGTGGTGGATGACACTGAATCTAGCCTTCCCTGGCCTCTCCTAACTAACTGCCCGGCCCCCACACACCCCTGCACCCCACCTCCAACAGGAAGATCTTGTCTGAGAGGTGGGCCTGGCCATGCCAACCCCTCTCCGCCCCCTGCTCAGCTGTCCCCAGACCAAGCCCCATCTCCGGAGCTGTCACTGCCCACCTGCAATCTCTCTCTGCCCCTTCCCTTCACTCTGCTGAGCCACTCTGTCCTCTTTCTGTTTCTGCCAAGGACCTGGGCTGCCTCCCCAGGGCCTTTGCACACGCGGTTCCCTTTGCTGAGGAGTGTGTTCCATCCCCTACATTCACTCCTCATGTCTCCACTGTGCTGATACTGCCTCGGGGAAACCTCCTCACCCTCCAGCCTGGGTCAGGCCCCCACCTCTTGCTCACAGACCCCTGTCCATTACCTTTGTGGCATGGAAAACTGTTGTCATTAGAGCCATGAATTGTTGAGTCTCAGGGGAAACGGCAGAGGTCTTCTTCCCCCATCAGCTCCTTACTCCTTCAAGCCTCAGCTCAAGTGCCCCCTCCTCTCGGACACCCTCCCTCCCAACGGGGTCACACACCTGCCCTGCCCTGTGCTTTCCCCCATCCCGGCCTGACCTCTCTGGGCTGTCTGTCACTCGGGATGGGATTTCCAGGACAGGGCCCATATCCATCTTGGTCCCTGCCGGGTCTCTAGCGCGCACCCCTGCCACCAGAGGCTGTCCCCCCTGCTCTGGGAGGGTCTGAGCCAGCCAACTAGGGCTGACAGAGCTTGGGTGTCGGCAGGTTCTCTCCAGACCTCCTGGGGCTGCAGGCGAGCTCGGCGTTGGCCTGGCTGACACTGGAGGTGCTGGCTATCCTGCTCAGCCTCTACCTTGTCACGGTCAACACAGACCTCAGCACTATCGACCTGGTGGCCTTCCTGGGTTACAAGTATGTTGGGTGAGTACCCCCTCTGCCTCCCCACTGCCAGCCCCCAGCCCCAGGGCCTCATCCTCAGACCAGCCTTCCCCCGCTCTCCCCACAGGATGATTGGTGGGGTCCTCATGGGCCTGCTCTTTGGGAAGATTGGCTACTACCTGGTACTGGGCTGGTGCTGCGTGTCCATCTTTGTGTTCATGGTGAGCTGGGGCTCAAGGGAAGGTGGAACGCAGGGCACAGGCCTTCTGGACAGCGTTGGGGGTCCCTGGGGTCATCCAAGCAGGGGATGTCAGGTGGGAGTTTAGACCCATAGCCATACTGGTGGAGGGGCTACCCTAGCCTGGGGGTCCAGAGAGCTTCCCAGAAGAGGGGGTGTCCAAGGGCGGGGTGCTGAAGGGGGAGGAGGAGCCAGCCAGTCGGCTCTCACTCCACTTTTCTGGTACAGTGGGCGTTCCTTCCAGCATTTCCTTTAGGATGAAAAGAGTATAGTGTCCTTGAAGTAGCTTCTCTGAGAGTCCTTACAGCTGGACTAGAAGTGCTGGTTAGGAGCTCTGGGATCCACCAGCCCTGGCTTTGACCCCAGGCCTTCCTGGATCCTGGGCAGCTCACTTCCTCTCTTTAAACCTGTTTCCCCTTTTCTGAAAAGGTTGTTGTTGTTTAGTTGCTAAGTCATGTCCGACTCTCTCTGACCCCATGGGTTGTATAGCCCACTACGTTCTTCTGTCCAAGGGATTTCCCAGGCAAGAATACTTGAATGGGTTGCCATTTCCTCCTCCAGGAGATCTTCCTGTTCCAGGGATTGAACCTGTCTCCTGCTTGGCAGGCAGATTGTTTACCACTGAGCCACCAAGGAAACCCTTTATAAAACGGGGTGATGGTAATTCCACTTCAGGGTACTGAGAGTATCAGTGTGAGCAAGTGTTAGGTGGTTCAGTTGCTCAGTCATGTCTGACTCTTTGTGACCCCATGAACGGCAGCACACCAGGCTTCCCTGTCCTTCACTATGTCCTGGAGTTGGCTTAAACTCATGTCCATTGAGTCAATGATACCATCCAACCATCTCATCCTCTTTCTCCCCCTTCTGGGCAACAAGAGGCTGAGCCAGGCTTGCCTGTGAGTGAGTGGGAGTCTCCAGCAGAGGCGTGGGTCGACAGTGGCCTGCCGCAGGGTCCTGACAGCAGCAGTTCTGGGAGACACGTGGCATGCTGGCATAAGTTCTTTTTGAGGAGATCGCCCTTACCCTTACTATAGAGCCTGTAACCTACCATAAAGACTGCAGACTCTAGGATTGGGCCACCTCAGGCCAAACTACAGGGAGGGAGCACAGCCCCACCCATCAGCAGAAAATTGGATTTAATGATTTACTGCCCACCAGAGCTAGACTCCTGTTTTCCCCACAGCCAGTGCCTCCCATCAGGAAACTTGCACAAGCCTCTTATCCTCATCCATCAGAGGGCAGACAGAATGAAAACCACAATCACAGAAAACTAACCAAAATGATCACATGGACCACAGCCTTGTGTAACTCAGTGAAGCTATGAGCCATGCCGTGTAAGACCAGTCGAGACAGACGGGTCATGGTGTTGGGTTCTGACAAACGGTGGTCCACTGGAGAAGGGAATGGCAAACCACTTCTGCATCAGTATTCTTGCCTTGAGAACCCCATGAGCAGTATGAAAAGTGTGAGGAGCAGAGAGCAAAAGCTAGTGACTGGTGGGCCATATCTGCCCCACAGATAAACTGCAATTACATGGCATTATTTACAGCTTTAGGGGCGGTTTAAACAAAACAGTTGGGGAGAAAAAATGGCATTTCTGGCTTGGGGAGAAAAAATGGCATTTCCGGCTTGTGTTGAAAAATCGTCAAGTGCGGCACAAGCTGATGGTGGCCAAAGGGCCAAGCCTGGCCATCCCCATGGGCAGGGCGTTCACACCGAAGTTGCCCACTTCATCAGTTTAAGGCCCTCGCTTGGCAGTTGAGTTTGGAACCCTCTCACATTTTCTCCCAAGGCCTGGGAGGACAAGGAGGTCCTCCCTGTCTGTTAGGAGATCTAGGAGAAACCCGAGGCTCCCTAGGAGCAGACTTAAGCCCAGCCACTCTCTGAAGGAAGGGTGGGGAAGATGGAGTCCCGAAGGAGGCTGGGCTCAAGAGTGTTCTCCCTCCCCGGCCCAGATCCGGACGCTGCGGCTGAAGATCCTGGCGGAGGCGGCGGCCGAGGGCATCCCGGTGCGTGGGGCGCGGAACCAGCTGCGCATGTACCTGACCATGGCCGTGGCGGCGGTGCAGCCCCTGCTCATGTACTGGCTCACCTTCCACCTGGTGCGGTGAGGGCGGCCCCGCGACGCCTCCTGCCGCTGCTGCTTCCGGCGGCCGCCGCCCCCCACCCCCACCGGCGATGCCGCCACAGCTCATCTCCCGGCCACCTGCCGGCCACCGGGGGCGCCCCGCAGCCCGAGCCCCTCCCACCCTCCCCGCCCTCGCCGAGGTGCTGAGATCTCCAGCTGCACAGGCCGCCCCCCAGCAGGGCGGCCACTGTTCCAGAAACAATAAACCGTGATGGACACAGCGTGGGCAGCTTCTCCTTGGCGCGCGGTGTCCAGCAGGGGGCAGGCCCGGCCCGGGAAGGGAGAAGGAGGCCGGGGACCGCTCACAACCAGAAGGCGACCAGGAGGCCAAGCAAAGGTTTAATGAGCCCCGCCCAGGCCCATCAATGGGAAGCCTTCTTCTTCCCTTCTTCCTTCTTCTTCTTCTCTTTTTTCACCTTGGGCTTCTTGACCTTGCCCGGGGTGCTCTTGTGCAGCTCCGAGCCGGGCTGTGGGGCCAGGGGTCGGTGGGGGTGGGAGGGGAGAGAGGGTTCCGCCGGTGAGTCCTCGGCCCGCGTTCCGGGCTGGGACTCCGCCCTCACTTGGGGTACCGGGCACCCGCTACGGAGGGGGAAGCCTCTTACCTTCACCTCATTTTCCGAATCAGTGGAGCTGCTGCTGGAGTCTGAGGCGCTCCCTTGGCCGTGGCCATGGCCGTGGTGATGCTAGTTGGGAGGCACACCAGTGAAGCTGGGGGACCCCTTTCCCAGCTCCCATTCCCCCCAAGTCGGAGGCCCCAGACCGAGCAGGGTCCTGGGGTCAAAAAGCAACTCCCAGGAATGAGGTGACTTACCTTTAGGTGATCAGCGGACCCGCCCTGAACCTTGGGGCTGTGCTTGGGGTCTCCCACCTTGCCTGCCCCCTGGGGCTTCTTGGAGGTGGACTCCACGGCTGCAGGGAGAAGAGACAGTAGATGGGTTGGCGCAGGCGCAGAAAATGCCCCCCGGAGGCAGACCCTAGGGCTTGATCCTGGCCCCCAAGCTCCCCACTCAACAGCAGCGCACCTGCCGACAGGTCGAACTCCATGGTAGCGAGAGGTGTGTGTGCAGGGCCAGAGTGCTGGAGCAGGGCTTCGAGGGTAGGGGGCGGGCCTTGGGGAGGGGCAGTGGGCCTGCCAGGAAGTTCTGAGGAGCCCCACCCGACCTCTGTTCAAAGTCCTTAACCCTGACTCATTGCCCCTCCCCAGCACCGCCCAACTGGTCCTCTGGGAAACGGGGAGGGTGGACAGTTGATTGCTATGCTCCCCGTCACCTCACGCACCCTGTTGTTCAGTCGCTCAGTCGTGTCCGACTCTTTGCAACCCCATGGACTGCAGCATGCCAGGGTTCTCTGTCCTTCACCTTCTCCTGTAGCTTACTCAAACTCATATCCATTGAGTCGGTGATGCCATCCAACCATCTCGTCCTCTGTCATCCCCTTCTCCTGCCTTCAGTCTTTCCCAGCATCAGGGTTTTTTCCAGTGAGTCGACTCTTCGCATTAGGTGGGCAAAGTATTGGAGCTTCAGCTTCAGTATCAGTCTTTCCAATGAATATTCAAGACTGATTTCCTTTAGGATTGGCTGGTTTGATCTTGCAGTCCAAGGGACTCGGGATTGGGAGAGGAGTGTGGAAGGGTGAAGATTTCTGGGGAGGGGACTACTAGCACTGTTGAAAAGTGAAAGTGAAGTCGCTCAGTCCTGTCCAACTCTTTGTGACCCCATGGTCTGCACCTACCACGCTCCTCCACCCATGGGATTTTCCAGGCAAGATTACTGGAGTGGGTTGCCATTTCCTTCTCCAGAGGATCTTCCGGACCCAGGGATCAAATCCGAGTCTCCCGCATTGTAGGCAGACCCTTTACTGTCTGAGCCGCCAGAGAAATCCAACTAGCTTCCCCTAAAGGGTCAGATGCTCGCACTTGAAGAAATGAGAGAAAGGGTGCCTCTGCACGCTCTCTGTGCCATGATAATACTGACACTCCTTGGGTACTTTTGTGCCTGGCACTGTTCCAAGGGCTTCTTGTACATTAACTCACTGTAACATCACCTCTGGCCTGGTGAGAAGCAGAGTCTGAAAGGAAGAAGAGCATAAACTTGGGAGCCAGTCTCATGATTTGAAGCCCACCTGTATTACCCAGTAGCGCTTCCCAGGTTGCTCAGTGGTAAAGAATCTTTCTGCCAGTGCAGGAGATGCAGGTTCAATCCCTGGGTCAGGAAGATCCCCTGGAGTGACAGCCCGCTCCAGTAGTCTTGCCTGGGAAATCCCATGCACAGAGGAGCCTGGCAAGCTCCCAGTCCATGGGGTTGCAAGAGTTGGACACGACTTTTCAACTAAACAACAACAGAATGATCTGGGGAAGTTACTCCCCTCTCTGTGCCTCATCTGTAAATGATAACTACCATATGGCGTTGATATAAGAATCAAACGGATTAGTTTCCTGTGACCATGCCTGCACACAGTTACTAGCAATAAGTGCTTATAGTGTTTGTTTTTTAAGTAAAAGGTAGGTATGGTGGCTATCCCTGTTTTACAGATGAGAAAACTGAGGGACCAGTTAAGATGATGAGGGGCGGGACTTCCCTGGTGGTCCAGTGGTTAAGAATACTCCTGCCAATACAAGGGACATGGGTTCAATCCCTGGTCAGGGAGCTAAGATCCTACATGCCGCACGGAAACTAAGTCCATGTGCTGTAAATACAGAAAGTCCTTGTGCCACAGTGAAGACCCAGCACAGCCAGAAAAAAAAAAAAAAAAAGATGTTGAGGAGCAGAAACAGTAATGGATAGATTAGAACTAAGATTCAAACCCAGGGAGTAGAGTGCAAGTCCAAGTCCAAGTGTAGCCCTTTGGTCTCACCCTATGGGAGGTTGTACTTAGTAGAAGGGACAGCCACGGGAGCCCAGCCTTCCCTCCCCACACTGTATGGGGCCCAGATTAGGCTCAGGGAGGAGTTGAGAGGCTGAGTCATCTGTTCCAATTGCTGTGAGGCTAGGTGTCCCTGGGAGTCCCTCTCTGGCCCAGCCCTTGCCCCCAACCTGGCTGCTGGGCCTGCAGAAGTGGTGGGCAGGGCTGGGACTTAGGCCTGAGGATAATGACAAAACTGTGCAGCTATCAGCCTTGTGCACTCAGGTCTCTGCTGCAAAGTCCATTCCTTAGAGGAACCTGCCCTGCCTGACTGCCAACTCCATGGAGCCTCGTCACTCCGTCCCCTTTCCCCTGGTTCGATAACCAGCATAGACAGCCCTTGCCTCCCACTCTCTGAGATTATCTTTATTCTGATTCCCTCAGCACATAATACATTTTATAATAAAACTTATTAAGTACCTACTGTGTGTCCAGCACAGTTCAAGTGCTGGGGGCACAGAAATGAACAGAACCAGCAAAAATTCCAGCCCTGTGGAATTGACATTCTTGTCAGGGGGTACATGGCAAAATGTAGAGTATGTTAGAAAAAAGCTGGAAATGAAACTGTCCAACAGCTGGTGAATGGATACATGCAATGTGATAGATCTGTTCATACAATGGAATACTATTCAGCAATAAAAAGGAATGAACTCCTGGTATTTATGTAGCAACGGCTACATAAACCTCAAAAACACTATGCTGGTTGAAAGAAGCCAGACACAAGAGGCTGCATGTCATATGACACCATTCACATGAGTATTCAGAAAAGACAATTACAGAGATAAAAAGTCGATTAGTGGTTGCTGGGAGCTGAGTGTGAGAACAGTGATTAGCTCTAAATTGTCCATGAAGGATCTTACTGGGTGAAGGCGATGAAAATGTTCTGAAACAGATCTATGGTGATAGTTGCACCACTTGGTAAAATTACTAAAAATCCTTGAATTGGATATTTGAAATGGGTTTTATGTAACTGATAACAGTTTTATTTTTTTCAAGTAATATGTATTAGGAGAAATACAGTAAGAAAGGGAATTAGGTAATAACTACATAGTATGTTTGGGAGGCACTGGATTTCAGATAGAGTTACCAGGAAAGCCACACTGAAGTCTTTTTTGTTAAGATCCGAAGGTCAGAAAATAAGCCACACAAGCACATGGAGGCATATCTAGGCAGAAGGAATGACCAGTGCAAAGGCCCTGAGGCAGGAATGTGCCTGTGAGCCCGAAGAGCTGGAGGGAAAGAGGTGGGAGATGAGGACAGATGACAACCGGGGCAGGGGGGCTGTGTGGGGGAAACGTCTTGTAAATCAAAGATCTTTGGTCTTTGCGTGAGAAGAGGAGGTAAACGGAGATTGTGGTTTTGCCGACAACCACATGCAGGATGTGAGAGACTGTGTCTGTCTCTCCTGGCAGAACATACATTTCAGGAGGGTGGGGATTTCATTGCTTCGCTCAGTGCCAAACGGTGTGACTCAGAGCCGGTGCTCCCTATCATTTGGTGAGTTAGGCGGCGGCCTGCTGCTGGGCAGTGTGGTGTTGGCAGGTTCGAGCAAGCCTAGGGTGGCTATGAGCTTGGTGAATCTTCGCTCTACCCCTTACTGCTCTGTGGACCATTTGGTCAGTCACTGGCCCTCATTGTCCTCCTCTGTCAAATGGAACTTACCTCACAAGGCAAATGGTTTTGCACAGAGCCTGCCTGGGACAAGGTAAATAGATATTTGATAAATGTTAGTGGCTTCTTTGGGTTGTTTTTTTTTTTTTTTGCCACACTGGGTCTTTGTTGCTTTCTCTAGTTGTGGCGAGTGGGGACGACTCTTGGTTGAGGCGCTTGGGCTTCTTGTTGCGGTGGCTTCTCGTTGTGGATCACAGGCTTTGTGAAGTTACTCCTTATCTTGTGGAATCTTCTGGAACCAGGGATCAAACCCCCATCCCTTGCATTATCAGGCTGATTCCTAACCACTGCACCATGAAGGAAGTCGTAAATGTTAGTTTTTACTGTGATCCATACACACAGTCTCATGATTCCTCATGAAACTGATAATACAATCCCCCACAGTATATGTAATTGAGCCCTAAAAGGAACTGTAGGGCACTGGGCTAGTAGGGAGTGGGGCAGCAATGTGAGACCTTCCAGACCCAAGATGAGGTAAGCTCTTCACTACTGTGCTAAATAAAACGGTGGGGTGAGTGGGTTCCGGGAGACCTTGGCCTAGGCCTCTAGACCCCCACCTGTTCACTTCATTACAGTACATTTAGGACGTGGCAGCTTTCGCAGGGACTCTGAAGGCAGAGGCTTGACGAGAGAGCTTCACTTTTCTCTCCCACAAGAGCCTGAGCTGGTGAGAGTCCAGGGCAGGTGATGGGTGGCTCTGTGAGGTCATCCAGGAAGGAGGTTCCCTGTCTGGGTGCTCTGCATCCCTCCAGGATGCCACCCCCAGGCCTCTGGGGAGGCTGGTACCCACCATCTGCTTCTCAGGAAGGGCAGAGCAGCGGATGGCACACCACTTCTTCTTTTTTTTTTTCTGTATGAATTTGATTAATTTCAAATGGCCATTCACACATACATTAAACACACTGTGACTTTTTCTTTGACTGTGTTGCTTGGCACACAGCATTAGTCCCCTGAACAGGGATGCAACCTGCACCCCCTATGGTGGAAGCACAGTGTCTTAATCACTGGACGGCCAGGAAAGTCCTACCACTTCCTTTTTTTATTTATTTATTTATTTTTTTTATTTTTATTAGTTGGAGGCTAATTACTTTACATCATTGTAGTGGTTTTTGTCATACATTGAAATGAATTAGCCATGGATTTACTACCACTTCCTTTTAAAGACCCAATAACCTGGAGGCATTACACACCCCTTCAGTCTGAATTTACTCACCTGGTCACATTCAGCTGCAAGAGAGACAGGAAAATGAGTTCCTAGCTCGGCAGCCACATCCCCTCTAAAATCTGGGGACTTTTATTACTGAAAGGAAGAGAAATGGGATAAGGAGCGCATCTATAATTACTCCCTGTCCGTGGCAGTGAGAGACCGTTACTCATCTACTCTGGAGGGTTTACAAATGGCAGGTGAGATTTAAGCTGGGAAGGTGGATGTAAAGGCTTGGATGAAAAACACAGGCATGAGCTTGTAAGAA